TCAACTGACTTCCTGACCGAATATCTGACAGCACTATGTCAGACTAGAGAGACCAAAAATTTAGGAAACAGACAAGTTTCATCATTCTATGTGACATCAAGGGGAAATTTTACGGTATTTTCCATTGGATCCCTTAATTGACTTCTTGACCGAGTATCCGACCAAACCAAACACACAATCAACGCTGATGATGTTGAGAGCATAAGGCGTTTGACAACCCAAACGCTTAATTGGAAACGACCACGACGTAATGCTTCTTTATTATTTAGGGAAAATATTAACAAAGATTCATAGAATCCTACTGATATATCTAAAGCCAATTTGTAATAATGTATGTATTTTAGGATGAGCAGGCTTTACGGAATTACGTTTCGTCGCCTGATAACTTGATCCGACTGGCAGTCTTTCAGCTTTCCCGTAAAAATATATCACCTCCGGTCAAAACGAGTGCGTTATTTCTTGTAATGGTGCTGTTAACGTGACAGACCCTGAACGTCACGGCACTTGGCCAAACACCCACGCCCGTTCCCAAACGTAAAGTCCGTCCAGGGGTGGTTTTTCTCAGACGCGGGAGACTTTTTTATAATTGACATAAAGTCAAGTGTGTAAAAATGGATCGGAAATCGGCCCGACCTTGGCAATGATTGCCAAACGGGCTCTCCTTTCACGCGGATGACGGCTTCGAAAAAGAGTGTGTCGACAGGAGCGATCCGTAAGCCGTCAACCTTGCGAAACGCGGCGGACCCCCCGGGGGACGTTAGTTTTTCCAATGGGATCGAATATTCCAGGCGATGTCCCCGTTACGGACGCGTTTCCACTAAGTCGCCGGGACGATCCGTGCCTCCTTATCAGTGACGCGGCCCCTAGGAAATGCGCACAATTCCTGACAACTCGTCGAACCCGTACCACATCTCGGGCCGCCCGTACCAAATCCTTCCTGTACAACTTCCAACCCGACGTTTTCTAACAATCCTTCTTTTTATTCATTTATAACACACGCTTTAAAACAAATTTACTCAAGCATTTATGATTTTTCTTGACAAAAAATACATTATATAAATAATAAATTAGAAACTATATTGTAAAAAAACATACCTAAACGGGCAGGAAGGGATGCACTCCTTTCTTTGACATAATAAAAAACACAAAGTATATCACTCGAAACGGGCACACCAGACACACACTCCGCTTCTCGACGGTACCGTCACACTTCGGTCGAAAGGCGATTTTCCTTTCAAACAGGAGGGGACCTGGAAAACATATTATTTCTGATTTTCCACGGCGGAAAATTCAAGGATCCGACACCACGACAGAACCTGGAGCGACTGGCCGATTCGACTTGGTCCGATCACGATCAGAATATGGCCGACTTGACTTGTCTAACGTAGGAGCGCCACGTGACGGCCTGTTTCCAACTCCCTCGTTCCCGCTTATTTTTTTTTATTTTTTCAATTTTAACCGACATCAAATCAATTCCAGGATATTTTATTTACACAGATTTATCGCCACTAAATGGAATTATAGTACATTCTTCGACTCTGTACACAGATAGACAAAAGTTTACATTTACCTGCCACATATACAGAAGAATTAATAATATTAAAAAAAAAAAAAACAGAAATAAATTGTATATGTAATTTAAAATGTGATTTTTGCATACATTTGGCCTTCCAAATTAAGAATTTTAAAAGGATAAATTAAAACTTGGATGGCAATAGGATAAATTAGTTTATGAGTGAAAGTTTGGAGTCAGAGCTTTATAGCACTCAGAAGGGATATAGCTAAACTAAGATAGAAGGTTTGGGATGTTAGGACATGAAATGACCTTAGCCGTTAAAACACCCTTAAAAATTAATAATAATAATAATAATAAATTTCAATTAAATATTATTTTTATGTAAGGTCTTGGTTGAAATGAAAAAGTTAGTGTCACGAGCGGGATTCGAACCCACAACCTTCAGCTCAATACGCCACTGCTCTAACCACTTGAGCTATCGTGACTTCGATCCACTCGGACACCAACTCCTCATCGTGGTTAGAGCAGCAACAAATCAGATCTCATCACTAATGTTTTTAGGTTTTTAGGCAAATTATGAAAATGGCAAAAAATAGGGAAAATTTTGAAAGTTTGTAGGTTCAGATGGGGAGTTAGTGTCTGAGAAGATCGAAGTCACGATAGCTCAAGTGGTTAGAGCAGCAGCGTGTTGAGCCGAAGGTCTTGGGATCGAATCCCACTCGTGAAACTAACTTTTTCACCTCAACCAAGAGTAATTAATTGAAAGAAGTGATTTGGTCATCACACCACTAAACATAATGGATCTAATAAATTACCTTCACACATTGATTTTCATTACTACAGAGCATATTAATAAAACTGAAGCCTCACCTTGATAACTCCATGGACCACACACATTAATTTTACCTTACAAATAGGAGATATTCACTCCACTATGGAGAAGCCTAATCACAGTCTTTCTGCATTAAATCGGGAGTTTTTTAATTGTTTTTTTTTTTCTAGAATTTTGGATATGGATAACGTTAATGAGATAGGCCTATAGTTATTAACCCCTAATTTTGAACCAGATTTAAAAATGGTATTACTAGGGATTTTTTAAAAGCAGATGGATATTGACCAAGTGAATAAGCTAAATTAAAAATTTGCACCAAAAGTGGAATTATAAATTTAGAAATCTTTTTAAGAACAAAATTATTTAAAAAGTTAACATGAAAAATATTATCTTTATTCAAGGATTTAAAATTGGTCACTAAAAGGGAACCTATGCAGTATGCAATTAGCAAACCATTTTTCTAAACTTGTCATATGTACAGATAGACTTGCACAAAAGCTTCACGACAAAAACTTATACGTGCCCGTCTATACCATTATAAACTGCTCAAAAATGAATAGGGATATTGCTAATTTTGTAGTGTGTATTTTCCCTAGAATTTTTATTTGATTTCATTATAAATTGCATTAAAATTTATTAGAAATTATATTTTTTTACTGAAGGAAAATTTAATTTAGAGATTTTTAAAAATAACAAAGTGAAAGGTTCTAATTCCATAATTTTGTTTCATTGCACTTCCCTTTGGAACTGCACTGTCTCTGAGATATCCACTTGGCGGCGACCTTTTGGTTCAAAATGATGTCGTTCCATCGATCCACTAGGTTAAAGAGAATACAACTGGATTAAAATGGAGAAAAGAGGAGAAAAGGTGTTTATTTACAAAATGATTAATCTTCATGTATACTATTCTTAAGTAAATCCATTATTAAAAATGAGAAATAATGATTGTTTTTGGTTTGTATTTTCTATTTTGTTTTATCCAACTGACAAGAATATATCGGTTAATTTAATTAAAATTAATAGAATAAGAATAAATTCATTTTGGAGCAGTTATATCTTTGAACTGCCTGCAAAAATTAGTTCTAAAAGATTAATTAAAACTTTAGAAATAAAAATCACAAGGGTGAGTGGGTAGTTTTGCTAAAGATGCCCCAACAACAAGCAATCCTCTAAACAGCCCTGTTCCTGGAAAAGATCACCATGCAAAAAGTGCAACAACAAATAGGCAAATAGTGTCAAACAAAAGCACGCTATATAAAGATATGTTCCACAGGTCAAAAAATCAAGTTGATTTAATCAGTGAACGCATCCAAAATCTCCAAAACCTGGGTAAACAACCTGATATCCTGAATTTTGGGTAATGAAAAGGTATGACTCTTAAAAACAAAGTCACTACCACAGGTCCTGTCCTCAGGCTGGGGTGACATGGTGGAAGGGTGCAGGGGGAACTGAAGATTGCATGGGCAATCCCAGCCTTGAGGGGGATCACAGCCCATGCACATCCCTAACTCGGCCTGCAAAAGAAAAAAGAAAAAGAGAAGCAAGAATTGCTTACACAACTGTGGAACTAGTCATCCTTCCTTGGGACTTGACCCCATCAACCTTAATATATGACATAAATTAAAAAAAAAGAAAAGAAAAATAAATAAATATAAAATAATAATAATTAAAAATGCAATGAAAAGAACAATTAAATAATAAAAGAAGTCCACCAAAGCTAATAATATAAATGCCTGTTCAGGTGCCCGTTATGCAGAGAAAAGTTGCTCGATGTGTCCCACATAATAGAGGTGTGTCATGCCTTGGCTCCATACAGAGAGCGTGTAGGCATGCCACTGGATTTGAGAATGGTTCTCGACATGGTAGCAAGTTTCAGGGTCCTCTGTTCCGCTTTTTAGGAGAATTGGGAATTTTTTTATTGCATATAGCCGTTAAGATATGTTTTGTATGAGTGAGTGTATTTATTAGAGTGAATTGGGAGAGGCTGATGGTGGAATAGCATCCCCATTGCCCCTCGAGCTGTGTGACTTGAGTCAATGGCAGAATATTTAGAATCCCATCGACCCCTTGTTTGTTATTGCGTGCATACTCAGTACTCCATCCGCCAAATAGAATAAATGCAATGTATGTAAGTGTGAATGTGTGTTGCAATATTTATCATGCACTCAGGGCTGAAATGACCAAGCTGCCAGATGCCCCTTTAAAAAAAAAGTTATTAAAACAATGAAAATTTATGTAATCGATTATTTTTGGACAAATTCAAATTTTTGTTTAGCAAATGCACACATTCAAAAACAAAAATCAATTAAACAACAAAAATTAGCTTACATGGCCATTACAGACAGGGAAACAGTTGAACAAGCAGATAAATTTAGTCAAAAACGCTTGTCACTAGTCAAAACTAATGATACAAACTAAAATTTGTATTTATTTTAAAATAAATTGTATTTTACTTTTTGAACTAAACAGTAGTTTTAGAGGTAAGGACAAAATATTATAATAATGATAAAAAAATGTAATCATTAAATTTTGTCATATTTCTTTTTAAAGAGAAATAACCTTGTAAAATTGATTTATGGTTTTTTTTTAAACTTATAAGTAATTTATTTAAAGAATTTGCCCAATCATTCCAAATAATTATCGTGATAAGCTTGGAAACGTCATGGGACGTTGGAAACGGCCAAGTGCCAACAGCAACAGCGTTATCTCAAGTATTTTTTTGCGTGTTTATTTCCCTTTTCCCCACTCGTACGGATTTCACCAATGTAAAATACAATAATTAATCTAATTAATTTAATATCGTGGAATCCGCAATGGCTGAAAATGAGCTCGAGGTGACAAAAGAGAGCAAATTGCTCATCATCAAACTGAACAGGCCACACAAGAGAAATGCAATCAACCTCCAGGTAACTTGGTAACTTGAGTGTTCGCACTTCCCAACTGACCCAACCCAACGTACGACAATCCAGAATAATTGCAAATTTAACAAACATGGAAATCGTGTGTATTATGTTTTGACATAAACTTGAACAAGAACATACAATAAGTAAAATTAACAGACAGATTGGCTATGTACTATATGATTTTATTGCAGTTATCTCCAGAGCATTATTACACCTTTTTCACCTAGTCTGCATTAAATATAAGAAGCATTTTATCTTAAATATATACATTAAACATAAAGCAGAATCCCTAGACATTATGCAGAACATTAAAACTGATACTCATGTTTTGAAGGGCCTTGGTCTCCACTACAATGCTGGCCCAGTCTATTTTTTCCTCCGTGCATCTCCTCTATCTTCCAATTTGGATATTTCTGAGGTCATCCTCAATGTCGTCAAACCGTCTCTCTCTTGGTCTTCCTCGCAGCATCTACCGCCTGTCTTACCCAGCTAAACTTTCTTTATAGTCCTGTCCTTTGGCATTCTTTCTACATGGCCAATCCACCTGAGGCGTCTCGCTTTTATTTTTTTTTCTGATAATGAAGGTATTAAACACATATTACATGAAAGTACATGAGTTCAATAAATAAATAAGTCAATAAAAATATTCTAGTACACGGGAAATTCCACCCAATTGATTTTTTTTTCATTTTTCCGATAAAAGAAAATTCTGCCTAATTTGTCTCATTGTTTTTACGAATAAATATTTGTTTATGCTATGTTTCAAATTGGGAATATCAATTAGAGGTAAACACACTTAATCCTTAATCCAAAACAGGATAAAGGATGTTTCAATATTTACTTTACAGTCTCATTTGAATACTGAAGCAATAAACTGTTTAGTTTTCATCATTGTTTTCTTAATTTCGATTTTTAAACTTAAAAAAGTCAATCAGTGCTGAGGATGTTGTGCATGACACTGATTGGTGATGGGCGTTCCATCAGATATCTACAGCCATCGGAGTTCTCTACAAAACTCTGCGGGACACCGTTCTCTACAAAACTGCATCGTACCATAGAAGCCCCGTTCTGGATGTCCTAGGGTAACAGAACCACAGGATGACCAAGAAACCGGCACCTCACTGTTGGGCAAGCGATTCATCACTCCAGGAAGTTCAAGGTGTCCAAATTTCTGAATGCACTGCTCGAAGAAGATTAAATCAGTATGGACGATAGCTTGTCGTATGAGGACCAGAAAACACCGAGTTGCACAGCTCCCATTTCTCGAGAACACAGCCTTGGGTCTTTGGACGATTGGTCTGCTGTAGTTTCTACAGATGAGTGTAGATTTGCTCTACGATCTCCAGATGGGCATGAAAGAGTGTGAAAGCGAAAAGAAAGGTAGGAGTGTTGTAATTTTTCCCAGAGCCGACCTTTTCAACGTAGCTCACTGATGGTGCGGGAATTTCAATGGAGAGTCGCACAGAGTTGGTTGTTGTTTGTCGAGGGTCTTTGACGGCCACTCGCAATGGGGATGAAATTTTGGAACGTCATGCGTTGCCTATCCTCGATGAAACCAGCTACAATCCTAGTCTAATGCAAGATAATGGCTGTCTACATGTTGCTTGCATAGCATAAACCTACCTTCAACAGCATAACATCTTAGCCTGACCAGCCCGTTCTCCAGGCTTGAACCACCATTGAACATTTATAGGATAACCTCAAAATACGAATAATAACATATCCATCGATACACTCTACGGACTGATGGCTTTTCACCCTGTAAGACGACCAGAATTGACCAGATCCCATAGAGTTGCATGGCTCCCATTTGCTTGAGAACACATCCATTGGTCTTTGGATAATTGGCCTGCTGTAGTTTTTACAGATGAGTGTAGATTTGCTCTACGATCTCCAGATGGGCATGAAAGAGTGTGAAAGCGAAAAGAAAGGTAGGAGTCTTGTAATTTTTCCCAGAGCCGACCTTTTCAACGTAGCTCACTGATGGTGTGGGCGGGAATTTCAATGGAGAGTCGCACAGAGTTGGTTGTTGTTTGTCGAGGGTCTTTGACGGCCACTCGCAATGGGGATGAAATTTTGGAACATCATGCGTTGCCTATCCTTGATGAAACCAGCTACAATCCTACTCTAATGCACGATAATGGCTGTCTACATGTCGTTCGCATAGCATAAACCGACCTTCAACAGCATAACATCGTCTTAGCCTGGCCAGCCCGTTCTCCAGGCTTGAACCACCATCGAACATTTATGGGATAACCTCAAAATACGAATAATAACATATCCATCGTTTCCTGATACACTCTACGGACTGATGGCTTTTCACTCCATAAGACGACCAGAATTGACCAGAACCCATAGAGTTGCATGGCTCCCATTTGCTCGAGAACACATCCATTGATCTTTGGATGATTGGCCTGCTGTAGTTTTTACAGATGAGTGTAGATTTACTCTTACATCTCCAGATGGGCGTGAAAGAGTAGGAGGCGACATGAAAGCTACAGAGTTGTAACTTTTTCCCAGAGCCAACCATTTCAACATCGCTCAGTGATGGTGCGGGCAGGAATTTCAATGGAGAGCTGCACAAAGTTGGTTGTTGTTCGTGGAAGGTCTTCTTTGGCCACTCGCCGTGTGGATGAAATTTTGAAATTGAGAAAATGTCTACATACTGTTGATGGATATCCCAACATAAAAAAAGGCACCTGGAAGAGTATAACATTCACCCAAATCATAGTGTTTCTATCTCACAATTCTCTTACAGTATATTCAAGTGCCTACTTCTTTTCAGTATTTGCGCATGATAAATGGTGAAATAAAGGAAATTTTATCAAGCAGCTTGCAAAGAATGGTTTGGAAAAATACCCTTAGAGATGCTGTGATTTGTCAATCGGTCTGAGAGAATTATTTGTATTTGTTAATTAAACTATCTTTCGCTTTAACGATTAGGGACAAACGTATAAATATGTTGTTAGATTTGTGGGAAGAATGCTTCTCACAGAGTCAATTATACATTGGTTTTTAAAGAATAAAGAAGCTTCTTTTTTGCAAATAATTATTCAAATTTTCATACTACTCAAGTCAAGCCAGGGCATCTGCTAGTATGAAGGACCAAACTGTTGAATTGTTAATTTTTCGAAAAATAAAAGAAAAAACATATGTTCTTCATGTTTTTTCTCTCTAACGTATCAAAACAACATTAACAACAACACATAAAATGCGAAAAAGAATCTAATAAAAATTGTGGAAAGCACTTCCAAAGCTTAGTCGTATAAATGAACAGACTATAAATGCCATCTTGTAAGTCTACTCCGGATGCTTCGGGAGTAAGGCCCCACCTTCACGTTCTTTATTTTTCCAGGTCGAAGGGGGTGGTGTACAGCAAAGAGAGTTAGCAATGTCCTCTTTAGTAAATACTTGTTGTACACAAATCTGGGATTATCTGTCACGCTGACGGCCCTGGGAGACTTTGCAGAACAGAAAATCATGCATTACAAAGTACCGTGGGATGAGAATAGAACAACCAGGGTAGTCATCGTCGGAGGTGTTTTTGGCGGTTATGTCAGCCATTGGTGGTTTAACTACCTCGAGAAGAAGATCCCAGGGCAGAGTTTTAAAAGCGTTATGAAAAAGGTGTGGCTAGACCAGTTGGTCTTTTCCCCTTTGTACACACTTTTTCTGTTTGTCGCTCTAGACGTCTTGGAACAAATATCTTTTGAGGACATAAAGCACGGTGTCAAGGAAAAGGCCTCGTTGCTTATATTTTCTGAAATCCTTTTTATGCCTCCTTTACAAGCCATGAACTTCTACTTTATAGTACCCAAGTACAGGGTGATGTTCGACTATGTGCTATCACTTATGCTCTCTATGTTCACATCATTCATAAAATATGATTTTTAACTGTATTAGTAAAACAAATTTACACAAAAACAATTTTTTGCTCTTTCTTTTGAGGTTTTATGCTATTCAAATCATATTGGGATTTGACAGCTGAATATCAGTTTTACTAAATTTATTTTATCATTTTGTTCTATTTGGATACATTTTATGCAAACCAAATGAATTTTTAATGATTATTTGGAGATCCTAAGATGCAGTCTGGTGTGATGTAGGTTTTAGAAAAACATTTTCCTTATCGTGCCAACATTTCGATCTTTATTGAGATCATCGTCCGGACCTGGGATTTATAAACATTGTTTAAATTTTTACAAATACATATAAGATGTGAAAAAAAAAGAATTTATACAATGCTAGAAATTTTATATTCAATGAAAATATTTTTTTCTCATTCAGTGTTCGTTTTCTGTGAATTTTTAATAAAAATTGTGTCTGCTTTTACTCCACCAGTCCTCTCATTGTCTGCTGAAGTTTTGTCTTTGATGTTGCTTTGTAAAGTTAACGGTTTGAAAGAATCTAAAGGCGGAATTGGCTGGAGATGCCCAAATATGCATAATTCAGCAGAGAAAATCTTATAAGATTTCAATTTATGATATTTGAATGCTTTCATATGTTCATATTATGTAATATATATAGTACATAATATATATAGTATTTAATCAAATATAGTCATCAAATTGTGCCTTATGCAGATAAAATTTGTCCAAAGTTTGCCTAATGGAATCCCGGAAAATTTATCCTTGCCGATACTGCAATGGTTTTGACAATTTTTTATTTATGTTATTAAATGTTAGAGTGATTGCCAAACTGTGCACCATGGTATCAAAAATTTTTTACTTGGTAGATGAAATTTTACTGTCATAAATTCACTTTGACTTGTATATCACTTTTATATTTGTATTTGTATTTTATGACTAATTTATATATGACACTACTGTAATAAATGGAAAAAAATAAATTAATAAAATAAATATCCATAGTTGATCCTGGTGAGATAGAATATTACGGTTGAAAGAAACCAAGTATTCTGTGATGTTTTAATTTATTCAGAGATGGATGTTTTGAAAGTTTTTCATTTTTCATACAGCTTATTAGTTGTGTAATTAATAATTAATTTTGTAAAGATTATGGATTAACTGTATTGGAATGTTTGAATGAGGATATGTCAAAGTTGAAGCAACACATTTTTTGTGCATTCTTTGGACGTTAAAGAATCCCTTCAAAGAAAAGCTCCAGAAATTAGAAAAATTGAGAGAAAAAATTAGAAGTTGGATTTTGAATTCAACAGTTGCTGGTTGCAAAAATGAAGACGAGTGGCTAGACCGTTATTAGATTTTTATGAACAAGCCAATTTTGGAGGGGGGCTTTGGCTTAAATAACTTCCTTTATGTTTTAAGCTGTTAATAAACATTTTTTTTTCAAATATGATGATTATTTCTCTCAAAGATATCCATCTCTCAGCCCTCAATCTATGACATTTATATAAAGCAATAATTAAGAAATACAAACTTTTCTATTTTAAATTTACTTTGTTTTACTAAGACTACAGAAATTAAAATCCTAACATACATTTTAAAGAAACAGGAGGACGATGTCAATGTTGACTTATGGATAAAGGTCGGAAACTTATTGACTTTTTCTCTCCCAATCCAGCGGCTAAAAGTAAAAAAAGCTGCTCACCAGAGGAAAAACATCAACAATATAAAAAGCATAACTCAGAGTTAAATATGACTGAGGAGGACGCACAGATAGGCTCTCTCATTAAAGCATCTTAAATCGGTGTTTACGGATATTTTAGACTCCAGATTGGCCGATCTGAAAACCGATATGCTATGGGCGCAAATCTCCAGAGTATTCAAGAGAATATTGAAATAAAAGCAGAGCTGAAGGAGCAAAAATACATCAACAAAAAGATCGCGCAATGACTAGAATATTTAACACAGGAGACAAAAAAAAAAAAAATCATATTTCATGGTTTGAGAGGAGAAGGCAAGGATTCACACGGTCAAAATGTTTTGTGTGTCTATTAAAAGTGAGAGAGGATATATTAATATACAGAGTCTATCCAATTGGAAAATTGTTAAAAGGAATTAGACCAATCATTACAGAAATTCCAATGGAAATTGATGTAAAAAAAGTATTCTAGAATGCTAAAACCCTGAAGGGAACACAGGTGGGCAGTCTCGCGATCTTACTGAAAAAAAGGACAAACTTCTCACTGTAAAGTACAAAATAAAGCAATGTAATAAAGTTGCCAGGGTCTCAGTATGGAGAAACTCAATGTTTGTCGAGGATCATAAATTTGATTTGGAAGAAAATTGAGCTATAATAGAGAAAAATGGTATTAGCAAGCTCAATGAATTACTCAAAACGGATCTCGGAGAATTTGTCACCACTATCTGTCAACCAGGATGGAAACAGAATGACACGGAATCTACGGTAATGCTGCAACTAAAGAGGAAGATGTCGTCAATGCTCAACACAAACAGATGACAACTAACACATCTAAGAAAATTAAAACATAAAGATAAATTATTATTAATTTCTTTACTTGTATTCATTATAATACCTATCGTTTTCTTCTGTTTTTATTTACCATATATGTACAATTATTTGATGTAAAAAACAAAAAACAAAAAAAAACATCAACCTAGCAGACGGGCTAATGTCCATTGTCTTTTGTAAATTTAAATATAAAAATGAAAATATATAAAGCTCAATAAATTTAGTTCTTTATTATTATTATTATTAAAGAAACAGTCTTAATTATCTTAATTATAGGAGAATTAAACAAATTTCAGATGTATAAAAAAATTAGAAATACACTTAAAGAAGCAGAAGAGGATGATGTTACTATAGTCGTCGTCACTGGTGTTGGTGACTATTTTACAAGTGGAAACGACTTCAGCCTGGATGGATTTGGCGAAGAGGACATGGAGGTGTTGACAAGAAACAAAGTCGACTATGTCAGGGCTTTTCTCCACTCATTGATTCACTTCCCCAAACTCCTGGTTGCAGTGATCAATGGTCACGTTGTCGGCATCGGTGTGACAATGCTTGGACTGTTTGATCTTGTTTATTGCGTTGACGATGTAATAAATTTTTTACTTTAGATAATTTTCCTTTAACAATATGAATTTTGATGATATTTTAGGCTACTTTTCACACGCCTTTCTCTGATCTTGGCATCTGTGCAGAGGGATGTTCAACGTACACTTTACCTCGCTCTATGGGAAAATCGTTGGTATGCACAGTTTAGACAAAAATTAAATTGTGTTTTTATGAAACTGTTTTTTCTTTTCTTTTCCTAGGCCGCACAGATGCTTTATTTCAGTAAAAAGATTACAGCGAAAGAAGCAAAGGACAGTGGATTTGTAGCTCAACTAATTAAAAAAAGTGAAATTCCCATGATTTTTGAGTCATTGAAAGTACATTCTACACTCCCAGCTAAGGTATGCTCATAAATTTGTTTTTTACTTGTTATTGTTCCAAAGGTTGCTTCTTTTTAAAGATCTTGTAATTTTTTTGTGAAGAAAAGTTTACAACCAGTTGTCCTTTTCTATATAATTGGATATATTTCAAAGCAGCCGGGCTTCCTCTTCAGCAATACAAATTTTTTTACAATTTAGAAGCGCCGAAACATTGTAATTATTGTATTGTGGTATTGCTGAAGAGGTAGCAGAGCTGCTTTAAAATAATCCCAATTTATTTTTAAAAAAGTAAAACAGTTTAAATTCACTAGTTTTGTGGTCCACTTGACCAATTAATATCATACAATTAATTAAGGTTTTTAGTTGAGATAAAAAAGTCAATGGCACGAGCGGGATTTGAACCCACGATCTTCGGCTTGATACGCTGCTGCTCTACCACTTGAGCTATCGTAACCTCGATCCACTCGGACACCAACTTCCCATCTCAACCCCTTTTTTTAAATTTTCCCTCCTTTTTGCCATTTTTCAAATGTCGTGTAATCAATTTGATTCTCGGCGACAAATGAAATGGTCACAGAGAGCTTTAGTGAATAGATTAATTAATTGTATGATATTAATTGGACAGTCGTGGCGTATCAAGCCAAAGATCGTGGGTTCGAATCCCGCTCGTGCCATTGACTTTTTTATCTCAACTAAAAATCTTAATTAATTGTAAAACAGTTTGTAAACTATTCATAAAAAAGTTAAGTACAAGATTTTTATTTTTGTTGCCCTTCATTTTTTCTTCTTTTTATGAATTGTTTAAGTTTTGTTATTTCTAGGCTTTTTTTTAAATGAAAAGTAATTCAATTGTTCAAATGTTCGTTTTGACATCCTGTGCCATTTTAAGAACAGATTTTATTTCTGAAAAATTTATTTTAATTTTTAATTTTGTTTTTTCATTGTTCTTTTCATTATTCATTTTTTTAAATTGTTTGTATTTTAGCATTAAAGGTAAATATTGATGATAAAATAATATAAAGCTGTATAAATAATTTAAAAAAAGATGATTAGAGTGATAATAAAACTTAATATCTTATTCCAAAACCATATCTTACAGACAGAAGAAGTGACCTTCCACACTATTCAAAACCATTTACCCAATTCTCGGTGTATCACAAGGTGGTGTACTTGATCCCCTTCTGTACACAATTTACACGGCTTATATTCCCATTAACTCTAACACTTTCAGATTTACCTTTGCCAACGATACATCAGCATTCATCTCTGATAAATTAATAAATCGTCAGAGCTTCATGTAATTTACAAAATCATGGCTCTGTCAGTTTATATCCTGGGAAACAAAAACTCTCGTCTATATTTCAGTAATCTTTTTATTCCCATTGCGAACCACATGCGATAACTCTGTCTGTACCTCGACAAACGACACATGGAATTACATGAGGCTCAAACGTGAAAATTTAAATACAAAATACAGACTGCTTGAAAGGCTGTGTGATAATTGTTCTAAACGTACACTTTAAAAAAAATTTGGTTTGTTTGTTTTATCCCTTTATATGCAAATTGTCATTTAAATCATTACCATGCTTACCAATCTTGTGCGCGTGTTCACACAATGTACTAATTTTTTCAACATTTTTGCTTAATTCATATTTAAAGTGCGTTGTAAATAAATAAATGAATTTAAAAAAATAAATACATAAAAAAATGGCACAGGATGCTTCAACTATGAATATAAAATGCTTAGAAATAACAAAAAAAAATTGTTTTTATCTTCACATTTCATTTTGATTTCTTTGATCTTAGTCGTTGTTATACACAAAAAGATTGGTCAGAAACCACGATTTACCAGCGTTGAACGTTGCCCTCAACATGGAGAATGAATACTTGATCGAACTGTTCCAGTCTGAAGATTTTATGAATGCTTTGATGACAAGGATGTCCAAAAAACAAAGCAAGTTGTGATTTTGTTTTAGAACAATATCAGAACAATATACATCATCACAAACTTTTGGTATATTATATATTTTTTTTTCTTCATTAAAACACTATTTTTTGTATATTAACTAATTTATTATCACCCTTAATTTTTACAATAAAACCTTTACTATGCTGGACTTGGATTTTTTTTCGTGTCGGTCAAATACAGATGGTATTTAAACCCTGATTATTCTCGATTGTCCTTGATGTTGCAAATTTGATCGCCGAGTTGTCATCTTGGGGATTGACATGGATTGGGGGTTGACCCCGAGGGGAAATGATTCAGCTGGGGGCGGGAGTGACCGGAGCACTAGAGAATATCTCTTAGGTTTGAGAATAATTGACCCAATAAATAATTTTCATGTGTATGGTCTTTTATTTTTAACTTAATTTAAAAAAATATTTACTTTCTATTCCCTAATTTTGTGGTCCGCTTGACCAATTAATATATTACAATTAATTAAGGTTTTAAGAGCAGCAGCGTATCTAGCCAAAGATCGTGGGTTCGAATCCCGCTCGTGCCATTGACTTTTTTTATCTCAACTAAAAACCTTAATTAATTGTAATATATTAATTGGTCAAGCGGACCACGAGTTTAGTGAATTTAATTATTTAAAATGAAGTATACTTGACTAAAGCTCTCCGTGGCCATTTCATTTTGTCGTTGAGAATCCAATCCGATTACACGACATTTGAAAAATGGCAAAAAGGAGAGAAAATTCAAAAGGTGGGGTTGAGATGGGAAGTTAGTGTGTGAGTGGATCGAGCTCACAATAGCTCAAGTGGTAGAGCAACGGCGTATCATGCCGAAGATCGTGGGTTCGAATTCCGCTCGTGCCATTGACTTTTTTATCTCAACTAAAAACCTTAATTAATTTTAATTTTTATATAGTAGATTTTTTTTTGGGGGGGGGGTTCTAATAGAATTTTGGTGATGGGGGCTAGGTTGTAGATTTTATCAGTTGGGATGGGGTTGTATTATAATCTTTCAAATAATTTTTTTTTGGATTGGATTTATTGTTCTTTTATTTCACTTAAATTTCCCTATGAAATTTTTTTATTTTATTTCAATTTGGGGGCAGGTCGATCCATGCAAATAGACCCTTTCTGGCCATATCGAACTTGATCATTACAATGTGGACGTTAGATTATTATAATATTAATTATGCAATAAATCGAAAAGTTGGCATGGAGCCACCTGAGTATCAAGGTAACATCGAGAAACTTTAAATTACTGAATGTCCATATTAATTCTTAACTAAATGATCGATTATTGACACGTTTTATATCAAATCGTCGTTAGAACACACAAGAACTTTATTGGCAATCAGTACTAGAATCAGTGCCGGGAAATCCAAGTTCAATAACTTTGTTGCAGTAGCTTATCCGATTAGGAAAAGTTACTTTGTGTAGGACAGTACATTCGACCGGCCAAATCGTCCCTGTCTGAGCGTACTGGATAAGATGATTTGCAGCCTTGCCTACGGCTTTTGCATGCTGCTGAGGTGACATCTTCAGCGTTTCGTACGCCTTATCTTCCCATTTTTTATTCAGCATCGGTTGTTTGTTTTCTAACATGTCGGTCTGTGTGACTGCAGGGCAAAGAGCCACGACACGGATTTTTGTCTTTTCGTAGATATCAGGGTGCTGAAAGAAAACTTAAAATAATTTTCAAAATTTTCAATAGAAGTTTTAAATTTTTGCCCACTTACACCGAATGCCTTTGTCAATCCGATTACGGCATATTTAGTCGCAGAGTAGATCGGAGCGTAAGGGAACGGTTCAAGACCATAAGTGTCGGCCACATTTATCACTAGACCTCCATCAGAATTCTGCCCCATAAATCTGTGTGCAAGAAGCACACCGTTAACGGTACCGTTCTGCAATTTATCAAGTGTCAATCATTTTCACCCAATAACGCGTTTAATGCGAGACTACCTACAATATTTACAGAGACAGTTTGTTCCCATTTTGCCTCTTCAAATATACCCGCATTGTTCACCAATATGTCAAGGGAGCCAAAACAGTCGATGATTTTTTTCATCACACCTGAAACAATTTAATAAAATGAATCGTCTGAATGTGAATATCCATTTGCAATGTACTTTCAAACGTTTTCAATATCCTGACATCCATTTCCAAAAACTTGGCTTTCGTTTCTTCTTCGCACACGTTTAAACAGCTGGCCGCTTCTTCCCCCTGTTGTTTATTCACTCCACAGATGACAACGCCCTAAAATATCAACTGCTTGATCAAATTATAACGGATAGTCTTGTTCAAAACACACTTTTGCTTTTTGAGCCATCATTTCTCTTGCAATGGCTAGCCCTATTCCTGAACTGCCACCAGTGATCATCACTACTTTGTCTTCCACTGTCATTAAACTTTTTTTCTTTACTTCCTTGCATCCTTTTCTGCTATAATTTTTTTCATTAAAAAACAAAAATACAACTTAAAAAACAGTCTTACTTCTCTGATGCAAAGAAGCGCTTAAAACCTACAACATTCCTGTGAACAAAAAAAAAAAAAAAAAAATAAAAANATCGTGGGTTCGAATCCCGCTCGTGCCATTGACTTTTTTTATCTCAACTAAAAACCTTAATTAATTGTAATATATTAATTGGTCAAGCGGACCACGAGTTTAGTGAATTTAATTATTTAAAATGAAGTATACTTGACTAAAGCTCTCCGTGGCCATTTCATTTTGTCGTTGAGAATCCAATCCGATTACACGACATTTGAAAAATGGCAAAAAGGAGAGAAAATTCAAAAGGTGGGGTTGAGATGGGAAGTTAGTGTGTGAGTGGATCGAGCTCACAATAGCTCAAGTGGTAGAGCAACGGCGTATCATGCCGAAGATCGTGGGTTCGAATTCCGCTCGTGCCATTGACTTTTTTATCTCAACTAAAAACCTTAATTAATTTTAATTTTTATATAGTAGATTTTTTTTTGGGGGGGGGGTTCTAATAGAATTTTGGTGATGGGGGCTAGGTTGTAGATTTTATCAGTTGGGATGGGGTTGTATTATAATCTTTCAAATAATTTTTTTTTGGATTGGATTTATTGTTCTTTTATTTCACTTAAATTTCCCTATGAAATTTTTTTATTTTATTTCAATTTGGGGGCAGGTCGATCCATGCAAATAGACCCTTTCTGGCCATATCGAACTTGATCATTACAATGTGGACGTTAGATTATTATAATATTAATTATGCAATAAATCGAAAAGTTGGCATGGAGCCACCTGAGTATCAAGGTAACATCGAGAAACTTTAAATTACTGAATGTCCATATTAATTCTTAACTAAATGATCGATTATTGACACGTTTTATATCAAATCGTCGTTAGAACACACAAGAACTTTATTGGCAATCAGTACTAGAATCAGTGCCGGGAAATCCAAGTTCAATAACTTTGTTGCAGTAGCTTATCCGATTAGGAAAAGTTACTTTGTGTAGGACAGTACATTCGACCGGCCAAATCGTCCCTGTCTGAGCGTACTGGATAAGATGATTTGCAGCCTTGCCTACGGCTTTTGCATGCTGCTGAGGTGACATCTTCAGCGTTTCGTACGCCTTATCTTCCCATTTTTTATTCAGCATCGGTTGTTTGTTTTCTAACATGTCGGTCTGTGTGACTGCAGGGCAAAGAGCCACGACACGGATTTTTGTCTTTTCGTAGATATCAGGGTGCTGAAAGAAAACTTAAAATAATTTTCAAAATTTTCAATAGAAGTTTTAAATTTTTGCCCACTTACACCGAATGCCTTTGTCAATCCGATTACGGCATATTTAGTCGCAGAGTAGATCGGAGCGTAAGGGAACGGTTCAAGACCATAAGTGTCGGCCACATTTATCACTAGACCTCCATCAGAATTCTGCCCCATAAATCTGTGTGCAAGAAGCACACCGTTAACGGTACCGTTCTGCAATTTATCAAGTGTCAATCATTTTCACCCAATAACGCGTTTAATGCGAGACTACCTACAATATTTACAGAGACAGTTTGTTCCCATTTTGCCTCTTCAAATATACCCGCATTGTTCACCAATATGTCAAGGGAGCCAAAACAGTCGATGATTTTTTTCATCACACCTGAAACAATTTAATAAAATGAATCGTCTGAATGTGAATATCCATTTGCAATGTACTTTCAAACGTTTTCAATATCCTGACATCCATTTCCAAAAACTTGGCTTTCGTTTCTTCTTCGCACACGTTTAAACAGCTGGCCGCTTCTTCCCCCTGTTGTTTATTCACTCCACAGATGACAACGCCCTAAAATATCAACTGCTTGATCAAATTATAACGGATAGTCTTGTTCAAAACACACTTTTGCTTTTTGAGCCATCATTTCTCTTGCAATGGCTAGCCCTATTCCTGAACTGCCACCAGTGATCATCACTACTTTGTCTTCCACTGTCATTAAACTTTTTTTCTTTACTTCCTTGCATCCTTTTCTGCTATAATTTTTTTCATTAAAAAACAAAAATACAACTTAAAAAACAGTCTTACTTCTCTGATGCAAAGAAGCGCTTAAAACCTACAACATTCCTGTGAACAAAAAAAAAAAAAAAAAAATTAATAAATAAATCTTTGGTTTATTACATATTTCTTACCTCTGAAGCAACTGAACTGGACTTCGAAAAACCTTTGCCATTATTTATTTTTTTGGGGGTGTTTAATTTTTGCTTGCCGTCAAATATCTGTAACTTGCATATCTTCTGACCTATTTTTGGAAAACATGTGTTTTTACAATTCCAATGTTTTTAAATTATTTGCAACAGTAGACAATTGAGTTTCATGAGGAAAACATTGACGGTTCTGTGGTTTAAACGGTGTCTATGCAATTGCCGTTTGTTATTACTACATCTATCATCCCGTGTAATGTTTTGTTTTATTTTTATTCAGAAATAATTACAATAATACAAATACAATGTCCACATTGAAGAGATTCGATTTTAATGGTCACAATATTATTAAGCACAGTATTCAAAATTAAGAATTTGACTTAGGGATGTCCAAGTGGTTGGGTGTTCTACTCGTATTTGCTGCACTAGCGGTTCTGGGTTCAAATCCCAGTAGATCCCATGTGTTTTTTTTTTTCATGAATTGTAGTGTGAAAATGTATTAAGAGGTTTGATCCCTCATCTGTGACGCTCAATGGATAGTCGGAAGTTAAGCCCTCGTATAAGACAGGCATTTCTGTTTTTATAGAATTTAATTTGAGCACAATTTAAAAATAAATGTATCAGCATTGGGTCCGTAAATACTCGCAGGTTTTGAGGTTGCTCAAATGCATTTGTTTTGTGACATCTTCAGTGAGATACCATCAGTTTGGGTAACACCAAAACCCGCAAGTGTAGATGGTCTAAGTGCCAGTTCAATTTCTCAGACCAGTGCCCACATTCAAATTACAAAAAAGAAAAAAAAAGTTGCTATAAATTTAAAATTCTGGTTTATTTGTACAGAAAATACCAATTTTGTCTTAAGAACTTTGTTCTACTTATTTGTAAAAAAATTATTTTGACTAGCTTTTAATGAATTTTAAATTGAATTCTGAACATATAAATGTAATCCAATTAATTAAAGTTTTAAGTTGAGATAAAAAAAGTTAGTGGGACGAGCGGGATTCGAACCCACGACCTTCGGCCCAATACGCCGCGGCTCTACCACTTGAGCTATGGTGATTTCGATCCACTCGGACACTAACTTCCCATTTCAACCTCACCTCTCGAATTTTCCCTCCTCTTTGCCATTTTTTCAATTTTTTGTCATGGGTTCGAATCCAGCTCGTGACACTGACTTTTTTATCTCAACTTAAAACCTTAATTAATTGGATGATATTAATTGGTCAAGCGGACCACGAAAAATAGTGAATATAAATGTAAATTTAAAAGTAAATGAAAGAGCAATAATCTTATTTGTAATCAAAACATATTAAAAAAATGAACAATAAAAAGTATCAAGACAATTTTATTGTGATTTTTGTCATGTTTGGACATTCAACATTGTGCATATTTTGGCCTATTACAAATCCGCTATTTTGGCACTGTAGGACTTTCTGTCTGGTATGTTCGCTTTGTACAGGATGTGTGCTTCTACGGGCCAACAGGTGCCAGATTCTGCATATTTGATCACGTGAACCGCAGCGCTCGCCACCGCCTCGACCGACTGTTGAGGGCTGTCTGCGAGTACTGCGTAGGCTTTTTCGGTCCATTCTTCGTTTAGCATCTCACCGTTGCCCGGTGTGATTTGTTTCGTTCTGGTCACTCCTGGACACAAAGCAACTACCCTCACTCCTGTTTCAACATAGTGCGCTTTATCCTAGCGATTTCAAATTAAACAAAATAACAAACAATTAACAAAACCTATTATAAGGGAAATTTACAAAAGGAAACAATTAACTCACACCAAATGAACGCGTCAGTCCAATTATACCGTGTTCGGTCAAATTATAAATAGGGGCATAAGGGAACGCATCGAAACTGAACGTGCTACCGATGTTTAACACAATACCGCCTTTGGGTTTGTTACACTGAGGCATGAATTTATGGCCAAGAAGGATCCCACGGATTACTCCATTCTGAAAATATATATAAAAAGTTTATTTATAATTCAGGAAGAAAGTTTATTTTACTAACAAGGTTTATAGCTATTGTGTCTTCCCAAGCTTTGTCATTGAGCACTCCTGCATTGTTTACAAGTATGTCAAGAGATCCATACTTATGAAAAGTGGCTTTGAACACATCTAGAAAAAAAAATCCTGTTATAAATTACTACTCCATTTCCTTTTGTGGTCAATTGTCTTTTTTATTTATTTTTATAAATTTGGACAAATAACTAGTGAACTTCAATCAATTTTTTATTGATGCCAATGCATTTTGGCTCCAACGAGCCCTGGAGAGAGCCAGATTGGCCCTGAAATGCATCGGCACCAATAAAAAATTGGTTGAAGACAATTAATTAAGGTTTTTAGTTGAGATGAAAAAAAGTTAATGGCACGAGCGGGATTTGAACCCACGATCTTCGGCTAGATACGCCGCTGCTCTACCACTTGAGCTGTCGTGACCTCGATCCACTCGGACATCAACTCCCCATCTCAACCCCACCTTATGAGTTTTCCCTCCTTTTTGCCATTTTTCAAATGTCGTGTAATCGGTTTGGATTCTCGACGATAATTGAAATGGCCACGGTGCTCACGGTGGGGTTGAGATAGGAAGTTGATGTCCGAGTGGATCGAGGTCATGATAGCTCAAGTGGTAGAGCAGCGGCGTATCTAGCCGAAGATCGTGGGTTCGAATCCCGCTCGTGCCATTAACTTTTTTTCATCTCAACTAAAAACCTTAATTAATTGTAATGATTTAATTGGTCAAGCGGACCACGAAATTAGTGAATTTAAAGAATTGGTTGAAGAGTTCACACATAATATTTGTACATATTTATCATCGAAGAATATTTTCTTTAGTTTACTTTATATTTTTAAAATCCAGCGTTTATTACCTTCAAATTGTTTTCCATTTTTGGTGTTGAGGTTCATAAAAACACACCTGCCGCCTCCGTGGTTGTCGTTCAGGAAATTCTTAGCTTCTTCACCCTCTTCGGCATTCGAACTGCTGATGACCACGGCCTAGTAACAGTTTTTAATTATGCGTCTTTTTTCGAATTTGAAAAGATTTATTTTCTATCGTACCTTGGCTCCATTCTTCAACAGCTCATTCGCTATACCCAACCCGATACCCGAAGAGCCACCAGTTACAAGTGCGACTCTGCATTCCAAGTTCATCACCGGCTTTAAAGACTTGCTATGAAAATCACAAATTATTTTAATTCTCATAAAATAATTATATATTTTTTTATATCAGCTTACTTTGACACATTTCGTTGTTGTAGGCCATTACACAATATTAGCCTGAAAACAATATTTTTTTAAAAATTTAATCAAAATATTGAATAAAAAATTGTTAAATTGAACTTTAATAGAAGGTGATTATCATGGGATTTTGGCAAAGTTTTTAAAATAAATTTATTCAATCAAATCAAAAATCATCAATGAATAACACCTACTTTACATTGAAATTTTCAGTAATGTCAATACTTATGTTCAATTAAAACAATGCATCCTTATAATAATTGCGTGTTTATTGTTAAATACGCCAAAACAGCAAATAATCAATCCCGATGATGAACAAACAAATTCCAACAGACAACAGTCTGCGAGGATACTGGGGTTTGCTTATTTTTTTACCTTTTCCACTGGCAAAGCCCGTTTTTCAGAAAAGAGAGTGCCATCTTCTCTTCGAATAAGCCTCAAAATCTGCGTTGAACTCTATGTTTTAAATATCTTTCATGAAAACTGTATCCGTTACATTGTGAGTGGAAAAATATTTCCATATGTTATTTTGCCATGTGAATTTATTTGTCAGTTTTTTTATTTTTAATTTCTTAATCACCATGACCTGTAAATTCTAACAAAAAAGGAGGATATTCTCACTCTTGTATTATCTTTAAGGCAATTCAAAAAATAAAAGTATTGATAGAATAGAAAATATTTCATTCTCATTCGTGGTCGCTTACAAGGGAAAACTATAAGGAAAGTTTTAAGTATAAACCAAGAAACCTTCAGTAACTTAACAAAAACTTGAGCTTGTCAGCAGGAGTCACAAGAACAAAAGAAAAATAAAACATAATAATGATGTTATTAAGTATGTAATATGACATTAAATAATGAAAAAAATTACATTATTTATTCTAAACAAAATCAACCTTAACACTGACAATTCTCGTATTCGCCAAATTACAAAAAAAAAAGATCTTTTAATTTTTAATAAATGAATTAAACACAAAAGTTTAAAATCTTTTAAGAAAACAATTGGGGGGGGGGGATCATTGGTTGCAACGGTTAAGGCGTTGTTGTGGCGCTCATCACTGTAAGGTAAAGGTCCTGGGTTCAAATCCAGCAACTCTGCATTCAAACCTGTCATAGTTACAAATGTTTTTTTTTTCAAACACACCGACACCCGATATGACCTCTGTGTTTAAGGAAAAACAACACCTAGTTATATATCTGCATTTATTTATTATTTATCTATCTGTTAATCTGGTTATACATCTTCCTTTTTTTTCCCCATATATTTATCTTTCTATCTACCATCCAATACAAACAAGTTATTTTCAGAAATGCCCTCGAAAAAAAGAAAAACTTTTGTTTTTCAAATTTTCGAAACCAATTTATTAAATTCTTTAAGGCTAATTATGTTTTTATAATCGATTTTATTACATAAAAATCTGGGTGTGCACTTTAAAGAAAAATTGTAGTATAGAGTTAACTTTAGGCATTAAAAAATTAAAATTAACTCTGATAAAATACAACCAATTTGGTAAATCAGAAATAAAATGTTTTTCATATACAAAAATACAAGGGTTTTTAATAAATAACTGGTCTAAACACAAAACTTTTAGCTAATTATAAATAAATCCTTTTCTGTACAAGGTGTTTTTAATATAATTGTTATTAAAGAATTTAGTACAGTTTTGACCTGTTTTTTATGTCATTTCACTTGTCAACCCCAAACAACAAAACCATAAGAAGTAATGGATTGAGTGAGAGCATAATAAATGCATTTTAATGAGCGAACATTAAAAATATTAAGTGTTCTAAATTTGTAAATATTTTTTCTTATAGCTAGTTTGTCAGTATGAATTTTGAAATTTAAACTTTCGTCATAAAATATTTTAAAATATAACAAAAAGGAATAGGTTTACAATTACAGGGGTTGATGTGAGAGAAGAATTGGTGTAAATTATTAAACATTTTAATTGATGATTGTTGTATAAATAAATATATTAATAGATAATATTTAATATAAATAATTTTATCTTAAATGTATAAACTTTTTGTATTATCCTAGTATTTATAGATTGAAAGCAATAGTCTGTGGGGGAAATTGGAATATGTACTATAAATAGGTAGGCAAATTGTTGGAAAGGAACAAATAGTAATTCACTAGCGATCATGACTATCAGAAAGGTTTTTCAAGCCGGGCAAAGGTTTTTATTACCCAAAAAATCTTATATTCAAAAATGGTAAGTTGGTTTTAAAATTGATATAACGGTATTTTCTCTTCATAAAAATTTATTAGTATACTGTAAAGAAGATTATCAGAGCTTTGTTATCCATGCTTTCACCCATCTGCAGTTTCTCCCAGTTCTAGAAGAGAGTGGGAAAGATATGAATCAAATCGAACACAGAAGAGGATAAAGATTGATAATATAGAAGGAAAACAAACAACAGAAAAAATAGAGAAATCTTTCAATTAGCTTGAAGTTTGAATGACAAAATCATAAAATATGATCCAAAAGTAGGACGAAACATCGTCATTAACCGACTGCTCACTCAAGCAATGGACATGTTCTTAAGAAAGCTGAAAGGTCAAACTTCGCTGATTTATTACCACCTTCAAACTATGGAATTTAATTTACCTTTTCTGGGTCCGTAATAATTTTTTCTTATTTGTTTCAATGTTGTGCATAGGTGAATACCTGTTTATGTGTGTATATGTTGCTTTCCTGAGTGGTATAAACTTTATGTATGTTACTGTACAATGTATTTTTCTTATTAAGAAAAGAAAAAATTTAAATATATGTTCATAAGTTTATACATAAAATGGACTGTAGGCACTTGTGATACAGAAAGTGCCTGGTTTGTATGCAGTTTTGAAGCATGAAATTTATGGTGTTTCCTATTATCCGCTGTTCTCGTTATCTGCAATTATGCTTAGTATGTATCTCCCGCGGATAATGAGACTACTGAATATATTGTTATTTTAAAACAAAGCAAATGCTTTGTGTAAAGTGGAATTTATTACAAGAGCTTTTATTAGCATCATTTGCAAGATGACTATATGGTTAAATTATAATAATGACAAAAATAAGTTAAGTGTACTTATAGTACACAAATCAATTCATCCTGTAAGATAATGCAGCATGAGGATTGATTTTGTTTAAAAGTTTGGGTCTTGTATTTTAAGAAATTGTCATTTTGCCAGAAGTCAAGAATGAAGCCTAAGACTTTCACTATTTTCAAATATTTACTCAAACTTAAGTAAACTGAAATATATCACTTTTCTTTACAGTGAAAACTTCAGAAATATTTTGGGGGGCCACGGTAGCTGAGTGGTTAGTGTTGTAGACTGTGGTGGGTTCAATTCCCACCGTCGCCCTTGGTCCTTTTTTCCACGGAACCCGTCCGATAAAAAATACACATCGCATATATATCTCATTTTATTCCTTGGCTAATATGCAGAGTATATAAAACAAAAAAATTCTCAAAATTTAGAAATCAGAATATTGTTTTTTAATTTATATTTTGCTATTAATTTTAAACAATTGTTGCTTTGTAAAATTGTAAAAAAAGACATCGGCCTGAGAATATTGGGTCTAGAAGAGAAAAGGCCATACCGACACATGGACACCTTTTGATGGGGGTGAGTCCACATAGGTGCCTGTTGTGTGAAGAGTTTATCACTGTTGAGCATAATAACAGGACTACTTCCAAGTTTGCCCAAAAACAAAAACAAAATTTTTTTAAACAACGCTCACATATAATTTGTAATATTATTATTTAATTATTATAATGCATAGATACTAATATTATGAATATACACATGCAGGGAGCCCAACAGTCTGAATAAGTCATTTACTTATATGAATAAAACTTCAAATATAGTAACATATGAACAATATAAGTATGAGGATATGAAAAATTATCAGAAAATTGTTAAGTAAGGTTGAGATAAAAAAGTAAGTGTCACGAGCGGGATTCGAACCAAGTCACGATAGATCAAATAGTTGGAGCAGCGGTGCAATTATTCTTCCAATGTGAGGCCTTGGTTGTGATAAAAAATTCAGTGTCACGAGCGGGATTCGAACCCACGACCTTCGGGTGAAAAATGGCTAAAAGGAGGGAAAATTCGAAAGGTGGGGAGTTGGTGTCTGAGTGGATCGATGTCACAATCTCTCATGTAATTAGAGCACGGCGTATTGAGCCGAAGGTCGTGGGTTTGAATCCTGCTCGTGACACTTAACTTTTTCATTTCAACCAATACCTTAGATAAAGATTAATTGAAAAGAATTCAGAAATTTATAATACATACAACCACCATTAAAAAAAAATTTTAGTGGTCCGCTTGACCAATTAATATCTTTCAATTAATTGAGGTTTTTAGTTGAGATAAAAAAGTCAATGTGATGAGTAGGAAAAATGGTAAAAAGGAGGGAAAATTCAAAAGGTGTGGTTGAGATGGGAAGTTAGTGGTTGATCGAGGTGGTTGAGTAGCAGCGGCGTATCTAGCCGAAGGTCGTGGTTTCGAATCCCGCTCGTGACACTGACTTTTTTTATCTCAACTAAAATGAACTAAACTAAACTAACTAAACTATACCTTAAGTGGTAACTAAAAACCTTGATTAATTGAAAGTTTTGTTATAAGGTTACATAACAAATAAAACAGTTAAATTAAAAAATTGTCATATGTGCAAGTTCAGTGGATATTTTACTCATTCAGCATGATTCACATAGCATAAACATTTACAAGATCCTTTCAGTAGATTCATGAGGGTTGCTGAGTTGGAGTTGCTCCCCTCAACAAAATCCAAGTAATCAAGTTGGAAAGGTTCATAAATTGGGCAGTTAAATAAAATATGTGAAAGGTCCTCCTTTACAGCTAAACACCGTAGGAAGAAAAATGAATTAAGATCAATCTGGTGTATCTGCTGGAAAAGAACAAATTTTGAGCAATATTTCCCGGGGCATGAAGGCATAGAAGGAAATGAACAGGCCGATCAATTAGCTCAAAAAGGGTAACCCTCTTACCCCATGGGGCCAGAACCACAACTAAGCACTCTTGGAGTATGTGCTTAAGTTGGAATTGGAAAAATGGGTTAAGAAAGAAAAACTCAAACACTCCAGGTATGAGACAAGCTAAGAGATTTATAAACATCTCAAAATGGAAGGCAAAAGAATTCCTCTCGCTCAGCAGGGAGGACTTAGGGCTCTATACTGGCCACTGCCCTCTTAACTATCACCTTAAGAAGATGGGCAAGTCCGAGATAGAAACATGCCGGCTCTGTCAGGAGGAACCAGAACCTTGGCACATATCCTTTGCTAATGAAAAGCATTAGCCCGATTATAATACAACTACTTCGGTAGGAGATTTCTCATACCCAAAGAAATCCACAGAGGCACCAAGGAAAGCGCTCGATTTAATAAGGAATAGTGCACTTTCCAAGGTATGGCTGTAAGCCTTAAGGGTTCTACAATAGACCTGTTTAGGCTGCAGTGGAGGAATATTCTGCATCAACTAACTCCACCCCCCCCCAAAAAAAAAAAAAAAAAAAAAAAAAAAACTATAAGTATGGGCCTGGAAAAAGACAAGTTATTTCAAAAGGAGCCCAGTTTTATTGGTATGGACTAGTACAATGAAGATTCTGGATCAATTGTGATCATTGTGAGTTCTTGTTTTTCTATCAGATAAAGTATACTATGGGTCAGTTTTATTTACATCTTGTCGGTACGACAAGCCAAGGCACCCTATTTCCAAAACCAAGCTCATTATCTGTGTAGACCGATTATATTGGGCTTTATTTGATGGTGAGGAATCAAGTACCAGGAGTTTACTCGGGGCAGATAATCTGGATTCATAGATATCTATGTCAATATCATATCATCATATTCATAGATCCTCAGGGCTTTATTGACAATGCTTAAATTATATTTATTTTTTATTTTATTTAAAAGTTGTTTTATTTAAAATGGAATTTTCAAGACTAATCCGTGTTATTTAAATTTGTTGGTTAATGTAAGAAAACATTTACTTTTTTTAAAAATTACTTATTTCCATTTATTTGAACGTATTTGGACCCATCATCAGCATCTAGGCTTTTTTATAAAAAGACTTAAGTAACCCATTTATGTTTAATGGTCAATTCGCCAAGTTACTTCTTTCAATTAATTATTCTTTTTATGTAAGGTCTTGGTGGAAATAAAAAAGTCAGTGTCACGAGCGGGATTCGAACCCATGATCTTCAGCTAAATACGCCAATGCTCTACCACATGAGCTATCGTGAGATGGGCAGTTGGTGTCCAAGTGGATCGAAGTCACGATAGCTCAAGTGGTATGGTGGCGGCGTATTGAGCCGAAGGTCGTGGGTTCGAATCCGGCTCGTGAAAGCTCGAGTGGTAAGAGCAGCGACATTCTGAACCAAAGGTTGTGGGTTCGAATCCGGCTCATGACACTAACTTTTTGTAGTAACGAAAGCTCGAGTGGTAAGAGCAGCGGCGTTCTGAACCGAACGTCGTGGGTTCGAATCCGGCTCATGAAACTGACTTAAGTATTTATTTTTAACTTATTAAGTACTTATTTTAGTTCCAGTACTGTAGTAACAGTCCTGGAACTAAAAGAAGTTTTATTCAAACACAGATTCTCTATTATGAAGTTCCATAGCTTGGACTGTATGGTTTTAGACAAATATTGACTTAAGTATAACATTATTCATATTTTACAACAATTTATTAAAAGCTTACCTTATATTGTATTAAATTTCTAATTTATTAATATAATTAGTTTAGTTTAGATGTCATGGAGCCAATAATTATTATCTAAACTTGAAAAGAACAGCTTTTTAAATATAATATATATATATTTTTAAAATATCTATTATCTACTATGTAGCTAATATTTATTTTTTAAACAGCTACAAATGCTTTTCCATGGATATAAATTCAACAGTGGCACTTGTGACTGGTAGCACTTCAGGAATTGGATTGTCCATCGCTTCAGAACTGCTTGAACAAAATGCAAAAGTAAGAATTCGATAAAAAAAATTAACAAATATATTACATAAACTTTTTTTTTTAAAGAAATGATATTTTGCATGGTAAGTGTATAAGTTATCCTTAAAATTTATTTTATATTTATTTTTAAGGCTGTGATCATTAGTGGAATCAGAGATCAACAAGGAGAAGAAGCCGTTCGCAAGCTAAATGACAAATATGGACAGAAAAGGTGTGAGTATCTGCATTTGGATACGACAAACAAAAAGGAATTTGAAGGTTTTTAATTTTTTCATAAACAATAAGCCTAAACCAATGTAAACGTTTATCTATTTTATCAGATGCTTTCAAATTAATTTTTAAAAAATATGGCTCTCTCGATATACTTGTCAACAACGCTGGAATCTTACATGACAAGGAATGGGAAAAGACAATATCCGTGAATATCGTATGTACCGGTCTTCTTAATCACAAGGACAAGTACACAATCATTTTAAATTACAATATTTTAGAATGGTGTAGTGTATGGCGTAATCCTTGCAAAGAAATACATGTCGAACAAACCGTCAGGGGCTGCAGTTGTTAATGTAGCTTCAATCCTCGGCATCGATGTCATCCCGTACACCCCGATATACAACCTGAGCAAATTCGCCATCGTCGGCCTAACAAGATCATTTCAGGTTCCATTTAAAATATTTAAAAGAAAGGGTGTGTTTAATATTTTGAAAATTTGTTTTATTACAGAATGAAGAATATTTTAAAAATTCTGGTATCAAGGTAGTTGCACTTTGCCCTGGGGTCACTGATACTGAACTCGTAAGTTCTAAGGTGCCTATGCTGTACGAAGAGTGGACCCCTAAAGCATTTGACGAACTTGCTTCATTTGTCAAACAATCGTAAATAATTATAAATTTTTTTATTTCCAATTTTGAAATTTGAACTAGATTATTTTGTTTTGTTCAGTTCTACAGTAATAGGAAAAGCTGCAGCCTATGTGATCAAGCATGGTGAAACCGGCACGTGCTGGCCAGTAGAAGGACATGTGCTCTACAAGGCTGACTTTCCTACTCGGAAAGACATATCCATAAAAATTTCAGACCTGAAATAAATCCAGAATTTTTTAAATCTTTTATATGAACGTGTTAACAATTTTGCATATATTATAAAAAGTATGACATACTACATCTGTTAATCCTTTATTTCTAAGTAGTACCTGTGTTTTCTATTAAATGATTAATTAATTTATTGTTGGAATATTTCTGTTCATCCTTGTCTATATCTGCTGCTTTGGTCTCTCATGTTACCGTCTTCAGACGCCAGAACAGGCAGACTATCATGATCAGAAGTGATAAAACTATAGTTCATCACCTTTCAAAATCTCTCAAATACGCTGATATACAAAAAAATTCACAATTGATTATTTTTTGATCATAAAAACATTTTACCTTTGATCTTTCTATTTTTTTAAAACTATAAAAATTTAAAAGCATGGTTTTATGATCTCACCCAGGCAAATGCTTTGGCCAATGACTGACTTTCTTACGCTGAGAATTTGCCGGCTCTCTGTGGAGACGGGCGGGGTTACTTAATGAATTAAGAATAATGAACTTAATATTAAATTAAAAAAAAAATGGGCGCCACGCTGTTTATATACACGGAAACAGCAACCGTAAATAAAATAAAATAAAACAAAGAAAATTCAATAACAGTAAAATTAACAAAACCCAAACACAATATTTACATAAGGAAAAAAAACACATATATTCCAAAGGAAGCTAAAATATTAAAAATACATCAATCTTTATTCTGTACTTTATAACAAACTTACACACTAAATGAACCTAAATTATCATAAAATCTAAATAAACATTCCTTAAAAACTAAACTTTCCTGGGAACCAGTGTCCAGATATGCTTCTTTTCCATTGAATTGAAAATCCCCGCTTCTAGGAATGTGGAGCACCTGAAGTTGAGTGGGTCCGCGATCGCCTTTGTTGATCAAGGAATTGATGATTTTCTTTGATCCGGCCAGGCCGTAGGGATATCCGTCTTGACGCACACTCTCCTCTCTTTTCTTCACTCCTCTACTCTCTCATAAGCCTATCCTAGGCCGTCTTAATTTTTTTTAACCCACCGCCAATTTTAGTTTAGGTGGCATTACAATTCAGGAGGCATCCCTGGCCAAACAACAACAATACACTCATACTATGTTACGAACGTAACAACTTTGCATTTGTTACATAGTCCAAGTGGGTGTGCCTCGCTCTACCGTCCATGATGGTCTAGAACGGTTTAGGGTCACTGGAAGTTTTGGTCAAATAGAAGGTACTGGTCGACCAGGATAGGTACGTTTTATTGCTTTTCCTGCATTACATAACCGTCATTTAATGGCTTCCTTCGAAGGTAGTCAACTCCAAACACCCGTAATGCAAGGCTTTGTAATCTCAAAAAACAAGTCATCAGATGGCTTCATGAGAATAGTCATCTGTAGACTAGGTTATCTATTACTACTAGACGTAGAGAGGCAATTATTTGCAAATCTCTTGGACACTTGAACATTGGGGAGCTGTTCTCTTCACAGTGCTGGTTTAGTTTGAGGGCAATTGTGGCCGGGACCTTGTGTGGAGAACTCTTTACTTTATGTGCCATGCGTGAGCCCCAGCCTTTTCAAAGACCATGCCCGTACCAAACTGAATGTCGTAGAGAATGGATCTTAGGTTACATTGAGGAAGTTCTTCTAGAAACTGTGCCCCCTATTTATTGGGGACAACTTCATTTTAATGCTTGATAATGCTTGACCACATGTAGCTTGAGTTGTCCCCCATGACTTTGAGGATAGAATTGGCCAGCATGTTTTCCTGACATGAATCCCATGGAAACATAGGGGGGCATGATAAAGAGATGGGTTAGACACCGTTTGCCGCCTCTTAAGAGACTTGAGGCCCACCGTGAGCCAGAGGAGGTAGTACACGTTAAGAGCAAAGCCAGGTAATAAATTATTAGTTCAATTTTAATCTATCACTAAGTGATTTTCTGATGTTTTGGTGAATTTCATTCAAACCAATATAATTAAATCATTTTGATTAAAAATGATGGTTTGAAGGTTTATAATTTCTGGAGGGAGCGAGGACAGATTATGGGAGCAACCGAAGAGTCGAGGATATCAGGAAGTTTTTTTAAATGAGTGGGCCAATAAGTAGGTTTGTTTAGAGAGAGGATCGAAATGTTGGGACATGGAAATGTCCAGTGCCCGACCACGATTAGGCGCCCGACAGCCCCACTGGGGATGTTTCACGTCGTCACCTGCAAAAAATTGAAGACCGAGGGAAAGAAAAAATAGGAAGTCTTGAAAGGTGGTGTTGATTGTGCTGAATATACTGATTGCTGATGATTGTTGATTGAAGGACATCAGTAGGTTCAGAAGGTAAGGTGATGGGTTAAGGCGTTTCTATTATAATGGCAGTGACTCCATGAGCCGTGTCATCTGGGTGGTCTGTCCTGTAGGTTGTGTAGTCAGTCATGTAAAATGATCTACTGGTAAAGTCTCGATGATAAGTGAAATGTAAACTAATGTAACTGGAAACCATGACTAATGTCTATGCCTATATTCAATAGGTCATTATGCAACAAGGAATAGCACTTCAATAGGTCACGCCTAAGCAGTTCACAAGGAATGCAGCAACTGCATCAATAGAGAATGCAGATTTTCAAAAAGTAGACAAACACTCGCTGGTACTGGCATTATCATTCTGGGGTGCATCAGTGCACCAAGTTCCTGACTGTGAGAGGCCAGCCCATTTGCATTCCAGAGGAGCATTAACAGGGAATTTGGATTATTGGACCCTAATTTAGATTAGATTATTAATATTGTAGGTCGATGGAGTAATATAGAATATTCCACCAACTAAACAGAATGAAGGTACATGGACGTGAATGTATTTATTTGTGTGATGGTATGATACATTTCTGGTTGGACCCCTGACAGGGCATTGCCACCTAATAATACAGACAGAACGAGAGAGGAGACCAGTAACCGTTTTATGTTTTTGTGAAGGTTTTTGTAGTTCTTTGAACTAGTAGAAGAAAAGCTGCAAGCAAGATCCTAAACTAAGGAGCCACTGGCAAGTCTATGGAATAGATCTACTGTACAGCTACTTTGTAAAGCATTTCTCATGCCCAAGAAGATCAACGAAGAGGCACCAAGTTCTCAGTTTTATAAGGCACTTTCCAAAGTATGGCTATAAGCCATAGGGGTTTCACAATAGACCGGTTTAGGTGCAGTAGAGGAAAGAATTGCATTTGGCATCCCCCCCCCAAATAAAAGTCCTATCCCCTGTCCTATACTGTATTATACAAGTTAGTTTTAGGTTAGATTATATTTTGCTCGCGTTGGGGACTGAAATGACCTCGCTGTCCAAAAACTTCGTCAGGAATTGATGATTTCCTGGGTATCTGGTTTAAGGGCGATACTAGTGGCTGCATAACTGGGCAGGTGAACTCCTTGATGTATATACCTAGGGTCGTCCATTTGGGTGAAAGTCCTTATTCGCAGTTATTTATGATCAAGACACTGCTGAAATTCTTGTGATAATTAATATTAAACATTCCGACAACGGGATTGAATAAATAATCATTACAAATTATTCATTGAAGTTTTTATTGAAGCAAAATGCTGTTATACCTTTCTATATACAAAAAGGTATGGATTTGGTAACACAAAAGACACAACTTTCTTTTGAAAATCACAACTTACTCGATCACAATAAAGCTTAGACAACAAGCGATATTTAAAGTGCGGCTGCTAATTTTGGTCAATCGCACTTTTATGTTATAATATAAAAACAATCAACCTCAATATAATATAACTTGCAGAGTATTTTCATTTCGCTTTAAAGTATATTTAAAAACTCTTACAAACTAACTTTTACAAAGTATAAAATTAAAAAATTATATAAAAAACATTCACGGTTGTATTTTTTTTTCTATCTACTTATGCTTTTTATTATTATTATTTTTAAAGATGATGAATTTATGGGTACAAAAACAAGAAACCGTACTTTTTGCTGATATGGAAAAATGGAAAAGGCATTTCACAAATCTTGTACTCAAATTTTGAACTTTTTCTTTTTGGCACAGTAGTTAAATTCTCTTCTTTTTTTAAATAAACAGCAAGGTGGAAATGTTAAATTAATGAATTTTGTTGCCTATGTGTCATTGGAATGGAGATGCCCTTGGAGAAAGATTATCCTGATTGTCCTTTTACGCTTGTTTTGAAATTGGAGAATTGAGCAAAACATACCTGCTGATTTGTGAAATGCCATATAAGGTTTGTTTTTAAGAGTTTTCAACGGATTAATAAAAAAATTTTAAGGGGAAGATGTGAATTTGACTTCTCGCGGTGGGCTTTGGTTATCGACGGTCCATATTGATCCACTTGCACCTTTGACGAGAACATGTATCAAAGCCCTTCCGACGTTCTGCACTCTGGAAAACGATCGAATTTAAATAATTTTAATATAAAACTCGAAATTTGTGAGATTTACGGTTGAAAAGGCCGGTTCTCGTATTCCCTCCGCCAGACGGGCTCGTAAGCCGGCGACAGAATCCCTTTCTTCATGTCTTCCGCGTTGGTCTCGGTGAGGGTCGACCCGGGGCAGAGGGCGATGATCCGCACCCCGGACAGATTCATGTGGAAAGGGTCTCCGAAGGACCTGGTGAAGCCGATGATGGCGTGTTTTGTCGCTGTGTAGATCGGGACGCAGGCACACGGCCTCAGGCCCAGGGTGGACCCGGTGATGACCACGGTACCACCGCGACCTCCGCGGTCCCGTCCCATGAACCTGAAAGCCAGGAGTGTTCCTCGTATCACCCCATTCTGAAAAAAACCGAAATCACTTAGTAATTTACTGCTTGGTTTCGGCTTGAACGGAGGAACTTGCAAGGTTGACGTCGACTTCCAGCTCCCAGAATCTATCGTTGAATATTCCAGCGTTGTTGACTACAATGTCCAAACCGCCGAAGACAGAGACGGTTGTTTGAAAAGCCGCTGGAAATTGAACAAAACCATATTTAAGTCACGTATAAATTTTTTTAAATTTAAAGTTAAAGCCTTTCTAATCATCAAACAAAACCAACTGCATGAAAGAAATCCGACCTCTTTCTAGCAATCACTGGTGTCTATGTTTATACATATGCATTATTTATTGACCGACGAACATCAAGTGGTCACCGCCGGCCCTCTGCGTTTTAAACGGAAAATTCTTCGTTTTTCTTCTTTCGAATATCCTAATCACTGACACTCTCATTATCTCTGGGTTTTTTAGCTTGCTCTCGAAGGTACCTCAGGTTCTCAAATTAAGAGAACGAGAAAAACACGGACACATAACACATATACATTTTCAAATTTTCCACCAGCTCCGGAAACGCCACCTGCGAAGGGAACCTTGCCCCTCCGGGGATAAACCCTGCCATTCACGCTAATAAATTACAAACACCCCATTAATTCACAAACCCCAGAGTAGTCGATATTTCTCGTGCTAATTGGGGATAAATTCTGCCATTCACGCTAATAAATTACATTCACTCACACTATCCCAGAGTTTTCGATATTCCTCATGGTTTATTGGGGATAAATCATGCCATTTACGCTATTAAATTACATTCACCCACCTCACTTTATTTACACTACCTCAGAGCACTCGATATTCCTCGGGATAATTGGGGATAAACCATGCCATTCACGCTTATAAATTGCTTTCACTCTCTAGCTCACTCCAAAGTACTCAATATTCATTGCAGTATACATTATTCATGTGTCTTGTTTTTTAAAAAATAACATACCATACAAAATATTTTTGCTTTGCGCAAAACGATATTAAATTGCTGGTGCTATCTACAAGAGGATTAACTCTTCTCAACTCGTGCTAAAATTCGGATGATTGATTTTACACAAAACATTTTTGTATTAGACAAAAATTTAACATGCACGGCAGGTTTTAAGTTAAAAAATTTCGTAATTTATGATGAATGAGAACTTTGAGAAAGAGATTGGGAATTTTACAACCCTCTCAATCGATAACTGGTGTCTTAGAAGTATTAAGTTCCTTTTACATGCATATTAAGTTCTAAATAACGTATCTGTTAGATAAAAGTCGGGATTTGTCAAAAACAAAAATACATGGATTTTACAAAATCTTCAGTACTTTGATTAAATATTAGAAAAATAATGAATTAACAGGAGAGACGAATAGACGATTAATAAACGAACAGAAAGGATAATAGAGATGACCACCAGGAATAAAATACATACTGCATATAGATAGATGAATAATTATGATTTGGAATCATATCGTTATTCGAAATGATTTATAAGTTGATTGCCCTTGATGTGAAAAATGACGGGGCAACGGATACAGTTCGGTACGACATGGAGGTTATGTGGGTTTAGCCTATCGTAAGTTGATCCGGGGTGTAATTATTTTTTGTTTAATCTGCACCCTTCTTTGTTGCTTCAGTATAAAAATTCAATATAAATTGTGTTTGACACAGGGCTAGACTCACCTTCGAACTGCGGATAGTCTGTGACATCGCAGGGGCAGAAGATGGCTCTGTTGTGTCCGTACATGAGGTTGAACTGCTGGGCCAAGTGGTCGCCGTTCTCCTCGTCCAGATCGCATATCGAGACCTGAAACGTAAACCACGAAAAATATATGAAATATCTCATTGATAAACATACATTTTTAAAACAGTCGACAGAAGTTCTCGAACGCTTAAAAAAACAATTTGCTTCCTCAAATCGAGAAATATCAAATCTCTCTGTCCAGAACGATAAGTTTTTAAGCATATGCGCTGAGGCGGACTTCGTTTGAAAAACACAGATAAACAAATAAACTGACGTTTAGCGAGATGAATAAAAATACAAGGATAGGCAAGCAGCGAGATATTTAGATACATAAAATCCATCATAGGTAGACAAAATAGATACACTATTTCGAAAAAATAGTTTTAATAACAGAGTACTTCTGTAATAATCTGAAAGTGGGTGGCTGGACTCATGTTGGACAGGTCAGCAGAGATCATTTATCTGCGCGTCGACATTCATTCAAACGCGTATGAATGTAAACCAGCGAGAACAGACGGACCGTACATTCCTGATTTTATAGAGATAAGTCTCTCTTCATTGTTTGTCTCAACTGCACACAGACTTTCCACGACTAACCAATCAATATATATTTTTTATAACGAAATGAAGTTTCAAGATAATCACACATTTTTATTTTGATTTGGAGGCAAGACTTCTCGATACTAGCAGTTAAATAAACCATCATAAAAAATTGATATCCTGAGTATATTTTCAATGTTAATGTTTTAAAAGTGAGTGAATTCAGTTGAACATCAGTGGTAATCAGATTCTTCCCCGAGGAGAAAAACCTTGAAAAATGTGTACTGCAAGGTGACACCCAGGGTCGTACGCCATTCTGTAAATGTGTACTGCAAGGTGACACCCAGGGTCGTACGCCATTCTGTAAATGTGTACTGCAAGGTGACACCCAGGGTCGTACGCCATTCTGTAAATGTGTACTGCAAGGTGACACCCAGGGTCGTACGCCATTCTGTAAATGTGTACTGCAAGGTGACACCCAGGGTCGTACGCCATTCTGTAAATGTGTACTGCAAGGTGACACCCAGGGTCGTACGCCATTCTGTAAATGTGTACTGCAAGGTGACACCCAGGGTCGTACGCCATTCTGTAAATGTGTACTGCAAGGTGACACCCAGGGTCGTACGCCATTCTGTAAATGTGTACTGCAAGGTGACACCCAGGGTCGTACGCCATTCTGTAAATGTGTACTGCAAGGTGACACCCAGGGTCGTACGCCATTCTGTAAATGTGTACTGCAAGGTGACACCCAGGGTCGTACGCCATTCTGTAAATGTNAGAGAGAGAGAGAGAGAGAGAGAGAGAGAGAGAGAGAGAGAGAGAGAGAGAGAGAGAGAGAGAGAGAGAGAGAGAGAGAGAGAGAGAGAGAGAGAGAGAGAGAGAGAGAGAGAGAGAGAGAGAGAGAGAGAGAGAGAGAGAGAGAGAGAGAGAGAGAGAGAGAGAGAGAGAGAGAGAGAGAGAGAGAGAGAGAGAGAGAGAGAGAGAGAGAGAGAGAGAGAGAGAGAGAGAGAGAGAGAGAGAGAGAGAGAGAGAGAGAGAGAGAGAGAGAGAGAGAGAGAGAGAGAGAGAGAGAGAGAGAGAGAGAGAGATGTGAGCGAAAATATAAAGAAATAGAAAGGGAAAGAGAGATAAAGAAAGGTAGTAAGTCAGTGAAAAAGAGAGAGAGTAAGTAAGTGAAAGAAAGAGAGAAAGAAAGAGAGAGAGTTAGAAAGTGAGTGAAAGAAAGAGAAAGAGAGAAATAAAGAGGGAGAGAGAGAGAGACAGATATTAAGTGAGTAAAAGAAAGAGAAAGGGAGAAATAAAGAGAGAGAAAGAGAGAGAGAGAGAGAGAGAGAGAGAGAGAGAGAGAGAGAGAGACTGAGAGTGATAGTAAGTGAGTGAAAGAAAGAGAAAGAGAGAAAGAGAGAGAGAGAGAGAGTGATAGTAAGTGAATGAAAGAAAGGGAAAGAAAGAAAGAAAGAAAGAAAGAAAGAGAGAGACTGAGAGTGATAGTAAATGAGTAAAAGAAAGAGAAAGAGAGAAAGAAAGAGAGAGAGAGAGAGTTATAGTAAGTGAGTGAACGAAAGAGAAAGAGAGAAATAAAGAGGGAGAGAGAGACAGTAAGTGAGTAAAAGAAAGAGAAAGAGAGAAATAAAGAGAGAGAGAGTGATAGTAAGTAAGTGAAAGAAAGGGAAAGAAAGAAAGAGAGAGAGAGAGAGAGAGAGAGAGAGAGAGAGAGAGACTAATGCAATTTTCATTTATTTTTTCTAACAGTTTATTATGACCTATCAATATGGCTTTACATTGGTTAGGCTTCAGTTCTAATGAGTGCTTTCTACTCCATTCATTTAGATTTTGCAAGTCTTGGTTAACTTTAGCTGTGGTATCATTTATATTCAGTGCCTTAGATTGTTCAAAAGCATTTAAATCATCTGCGTACATGCACAATTTACGAGTTCGAAAAGCGTCTTCAATATCGTTTATGTAAATGGAGAAAATTAGCGCTGACAGCGTTGACCCCTGTGCTACTCCTTGCTTAATCAATTGACTGTCAGACGTAAGTCCATCGGCAGTTTTAATTTTCTGATGTCTATTATTTAAATTTAAAGAGAAAGAGACAGAGAGAGACAGGGAGAGAGAGAAAGAGAGAGAGAGAGAGAGAGAGAGAGAGAGAGAGAGAGAGAGAGACTGAGAGTGTAGTAAGCGAGTGAAAGAAAGAGAACGAGAGAAAGAAAGAAACAAAAGAGAGAGAGAGAGTGAGTGAGAAAGGGTGAGAGAAGGATGAGAAGGCGGAATAGTTCCCGGAAGTCCCTCCCTATAAGAGAAAGGGGTTCTACATACATAATGATATATTTGTATAATTAAATATACGGAGTCAACTTCTGTAAAATCAAGATATACATTGCCTGCTGTCGTTAAAATTAATGAATATTTATTAGAAAGGAATGAATTGACCGTTTACAGGGCCCGCGTTGTTTATGTTGTTGTAGTTATGGGGGAGAAAATGATTAATTTCGTGTTGGTTTTTTTTTCTTTCTTTCTTCTTTTTTTTAATTGTGAACATTATTAGTAGTTCAGGGCACGTACATATTTAAGCACGAATGCTTTACTTCTTGAAGGGAAAGTGAATCCTTTTGACGTGGCATTGCGCATGGGAAATTGCACCCTATAAATAACTGAAGTTGTTTGGGAACGATTATTAATTTGCCATTCATAAATAAAGCCACGTGGTTTCCCGAACGATTTACGACCGGTCTACACAACGGAATCGCATTCATGATTTTCCTCTTTCATATTTCACGACTATTGTATATTTATGTTTGATCCTAGAATTATTCAAACCCACCTTGGCACCGAGTTTGAGGAGCTCTTCGGCGTAGGCTTTGCCGATCCCGCCAGCACCGCCTGTGATCAGTGCGACTTTGTTTTTGAAGTCCATGGCTCGTGGGTCGAGGGCGCTTTTTTCGAATGTCTGTTTCGCGTCTCGGGGTCGGCGTCCACCCCCGTCACTGGAAGGAGATCCGACCCAGGGCGTGGCTGCCAAGGGAGTGGTCGCGAAGCCGCCCCCGGCGCATGACGAGCCACCCCTTGCGTCGATGTGGGTGCCAACGTCAAAGCGGCGATTTTGAAAATTTACACTTTTTCCAGTTGACGCTGACAGAAGGAAATTGGAACTAGATGACACGCCCTGACAACCCTTCCCCGGCATTGTGTTCCACTGACTTTCTTCCCCAAATAGCCATTGACAATTTTGAAGTATACATTATTTATGTGTCCTGATTTTTAAAAAATAACATATCATACAAAATATTTTTACCTTGCGTAAAACAATATTAAATTGCTTGAGCTATTCTACAAGAGGATTAACTCTTCTCGACTTATGTTATGATCCGGACGATGGATTTTACACAAAACATGTTAGCTTCGCACAGTCGGTTAAATTAGACAAAAACTTAACATGCACGGCAGGTTTTAAGTACAATAACTTCGAAATTTAATGAATGAGGCCTTTGAGAAAGAGAATGGGAATTTTACAACTCAACAAGAGTACGCGATATTCCTCGTGCTAATTCGAGATAAATCCTAACATTCGCGCTAATAAATACATTCATTCACACTATCCCAGATTACTGGATATTCCTCGTGCTAATTCGAGATAAATCCTAACATTCGCGCTAATAAATACATTCATTCACACTATCTCAGAGTACTCGATATTCCTCGGGATAATTGGAGATAAACCCTGCCATTCACGCTAATAAATTATATTCATTCACACTATCTCAGAGTACTCGATATTCCTACGGATAATTGGGGATAATCCCTGCCATTCACGCTAATAAATTACTTTCACTCTCCAGATTAAATACTCTCCAAAGTACTCGATATTCATTGGCGTTGGTTAATAACGTACCATACAAAATATTTTTGCTTTGCGTGAATGTTTGTATTAGACAAAAATTTAACATGCACGGCAGGTTTTAACTTCAACAATTTTGAAATTTATGATGAAAAATGGAGAAAGAGATTGGTAATTTTACAAATCGATAACTGGGGTCTTAGAAGTATTAAGTTCCTTTCACATACATATTAAGTTCTAAATAACGTAAGACAACATAACTTACAAAAATACAGATTTATTAGATCAAGTCGTAATTTGTTAACAACAGAAATACCTGGATTATACAAAATCTTCGGATTAGAAAAATAATGAAATAACGGGATAGACGAAGGTATAAACGAACAGTAAGGAAAATAAAGAGATGACCACCCGGAATAACATACATACCGCATATAGATAGATGAATAATTATGATTTGGAATCATATCATTATTCGAGATTATTCATTAGTTGATAGCCTTCGATGTCCTGATGAAAAATGACTGGGGCAACGGATACAGTTCGGCACGACATGGACGTAATGTGGGTTTAGCCTATCGTAAGTTGATACGGCGTGTAATTATTTTTTGTTGCTTCAGTATAAAAATTCAATATAAATTGTGTTTGAAACAGGGCTAGCCTGACCTTAAAACTGTGGATAGTCTGTGACCTGCTGGAGCAGAAATGATGGATAGAAAGACAAAGAGATGCACTTTTTGGAAAAGATAGTTTTACGCACAGAATACATCTCAGATACTCACCCAACCGCAACCAACTTCTAGGACAAATAGATAGGTTTATACGGTGATATAAAGATAGAGAGGTAGGTAAATATAAGGTTAAAAATCTAGCAGATGTTTGGCCTATATGTTGATAAATGACTAGATAGATAGACAGATACATAGATGGACAAAAATATAGCAGAAATATTTCCAGACAGTTAAATAAATTTATAGTAGATAGGAAGACAGATAAATAGATTGACTGACAGATATGTAGCAACATAAACAGATATAAAAAGGTGACGGTTCGAATTTCTAAGCTGAAAATGCCCAAAATAATTAGTATGCATTAGGGTTGATAGACAGAAATATAATATGGGCAAACAGATGGCAGATGTATAATCAGATAAACAGATAGATAAATAATAACTGGGCAAATAAAGTCTATTTACCTATCGGTCTATGTATTAATCTATGTAGCTTATAATCGTCTGTTTGTCCATGTAGCTATCTATCTGTCTACATCTATTTATCTATCCATCAGGCTGTATATCTATCTAGCTACTATTTGACTGACAGTCAATCTATTTATTTATCTGTATATCTATCTATTTATCTACCTATCTTGATATATTTATAATCTATCTACATATATAACTGCATCTGCTTGTCCTTCTATTTATCTATCAGTCTACATATTTACCTATCAAACTTATATCTTTCTGACAGTAGGTTATAAGCTACACAGAATAATACATAGACCGATAGGTAAATAGATTGACTGTTTGTCAAATAGTAGCTAGATAGATAGATAAATAGCCTGTTGGATAGACTAATAGATATAGACATATAGATAAATAATTGGACTAACAGACAGTTAAAAGTTACATAGATTAATACATAGACCGATAAGTAAATAGATTGACTGTAAGTCAAATAGTAGCTAGATAGATATATAGCCTGATGGATAGACTAATAGATATAGACATATAGATAAATAATTGGACTAACAGACAGTTATAAGCTACATAGATTAATACATAGACCCATAACTAAATAGATATTCTGTAAGTCAAATAGTAGCTAGATAGATATATACCCTGATGGATAGACTATTAGATATAGACATATAGATAAATAATTGGACTAACAGACAGTTATAAGATACATAGATTAATACATAGACCCATAAGTAAATAGATATTCTGTAAGTCAAATANCAATTACACAGAAGACAAACACTTTGAGCCCTGAAGATGATCTCAATAAAGATCGAAACGTTGGCACGGTAAAGAAAATGTTTTTCTGAAACCTATCACACCAGACCGCATCTCACGATTTATAAATAAATAAGCTACATAGTAGATTAATACATAGACTTATAGGTAAATAGCTAGGCAGATAAATACATAGAATTAAGTAAAGTAGATAGATATAATCTGTATTTATCATTGTATAAATTAATGGTTTGTCTAATAAGACCGGTTTTAATTAATAAATTAAATTAAAAAAAAAAATAAGTAGAAAGACGGGCCCATTAAGTGACCCAATGCCGGTTCCGTTGGAGTTCACCGACACGCAGACAGACACCCGGTATCTCGTCTAAGCTAGATAGATAAATAAATAGATATATGAATAGACAGATAGGCAAATAGCTGGACAAACAAAAGGCAAAAGTATAGATTGAAAGATAGAGACAGATAGGTACAGAAATCAACAGAAAGATATGCTGGATTTCATAAAAACGTTGATTGATCCAGAATTGAGCAGTGAGTTTTGTCGGACCAGGATCCACTTTGTTGCCAGCAATTTAACACCAAAAATGAATGAACCGATTTTAAAATATTTAAAAGAAAATGATGAATAGATAATAAAAGTCCTTGGTAGTGTGTTCGGGGACCAATGGGAGTTCACCTTCGGCCGTTTACGCCTCAGTAAGTCGAAGAAAATATCTTCACGGTCAGTTTGAAACATTACGATTCTCGGAGGTCTTTCCCGCTTGTTTGTATCAAGACGGTCCAATTTTAAAGGCTAATTGCCCCAATTTGGATAATCTCAATAATCTAGGAGAGACGTCTGCCTGTAACGAGAGGGGAAAAGGCGGCCGGGGGTCCGTCTACGAAGGATTCAACGGCCTTGCGCCTTCTAATCGGCCGATTTTTATCTTTCCTTCAATTTTCTCTTGAGACATTCAATCCACTCATCTTTCCTCTATCGTTTTTTTCCCAAAGGACATGGATTTTAGATTTTTTTCACGATTCCTCTGGGAAATGATAGATCTGGTGAATAAGAAAACAACAAGTGTAGCTACTGTACAGTTTTTTTAACGTCTAATTAACTATGTTTATTGCCGGCTCCTCGCATATTTGTCATCACGTTTGTTTATAATCGCGAAAATATGTATTATTTTTCGCATTTTTTTAATCTATTTCTGTCATAACTATGGTTGCTAGACGATCCGATATTATACAAATGACCCAGAGTTCCACCCATATAACTAACTAGAAATCGTCATTCACGCCAATAAATACGTTCATTCTGAGTAACCTTTCATGCCGTATTTACAATTAAAATTGTCAAGACACCGTACACTTTTATTGCCCACCCAATCACACTACACTTCCTTAACCTAACTAACCTAAGTATGCGGAAACTCGCTATTCCTCGGCAGAACGGTCCACTCATACTTAACCACTCACGCTAATAAATGCATTCACACTGGACTGGTTCGACGGATGCCGAGTTCAACGGGTTCCGTCACACTTCTCTATAGATATTAGATTACCTAATTCGATGGGCTGTGGGTATTCAATATTCCGTCACAGTCTCACCCACGCGTAATTCATCATTCGCGCTAATAAATACATTCATACGAGTGAGGAATATTACGTGTGGTTGTTTATATTTACCCATGCGCATTAATTAATTGTAAATATGCAATGAGATTATCTTTATAGTCGCTGTGATGCTTCAGAACTCTTGACATATCTTCAGGTAGGTCGTACCATACTCTGTGCGGCGCCAATCGTTAGCATTCTTCTAAAAACGTGTTTCACGGTTACAACTGCGCCAAAAAGAGGATACTTCTTGGTTCCTTTTCCTATGAAGAGATGATTTTAGGTAACGCGAGTGTGGCCTATTCTTAATCGTGTGAGAATAATTTTTGATCTCTTTTTCATTTTTTCCAGGAGCCAGGGTTTGGCTCATTGTTTCACCGCATTTAACTTCTCAGTCATATCCCAGCGGACTTGCCATTTGTTCCGACTTTTTTTTTCATTGCGTTTTTGATGTCCGCTGGGCTGATCGGAGCATCCGGGTTATGCGGCGTTTTCGCTGCTGGATAGTTATACTCTGTAACTATAATTAGCAAAAATTAAAGCTGAGATATAAAATTAATGAAAGAGCTTAAACAACTGAATTACAATCCGTTGGTCCCGTTGGTTAATTATTTGTTAATTAATTTTTAAGACGAATCGTTTAGGACAATGTTTAGGCCTTAAGCTTATAAATTAATTTGTAATTTGTTCTTAGTGAAACTTTAACCCTTTTTGTTTACCGATCAATTAATGCCTTTCTCATTAAGTACATTTGTCTAAAAAACACTTGTTTCCGAAGGCCAGTTAAAATCCACACTGTGCAAAACAAGGGGAAAATCGGAAAACATCTATTTTCGACACTTCGAGCTTTTTATTTTGGAAAGAGGGGAAAAATTAACGCGCTGAAGACGCCGTGAAGTCGCCGATTTAACGTTCGTTGGCCGGCTGAATTGTTCTTTGTTTTCGGGTTTTCCAGAGAAAACATTTTCTCTAAACTTGACAGACCGGTATTGAGAAAAAGAGGCAGGGAGAAGGACAAAGAAAGACAACTGAATGTTTGAGGAATTGAGTAAGAAAGAAGAAAAGAGGGAAGGAGAAAGAGAGCGAGGCAGAGAGAGAGAGAGAGAGAGAGAGAGAGAGAGAGAGAGAGAGAGAGAGAGAAGAGAGAGATCGCTTTATTTACAAAATCTCTCAAGATTTGGTCTCTAGGATCACTCTTACATCTAAAGAGAAGTACAGATTTATTTTTACGATTGCTCTACTCAATCTTTTAGAGTACATAAAACAAAAATATTCCTTGGTTTTACACTTTGACCTATTCATTGTATAACATTACATAATATTAACAAGAAGGCGAACGAAAAATAACAACAATAACTAAATAAATTAAATTTTGCTTTTCAAAATAAAACAAAATTTCTTCAGCACAAAAAATAAGTGAACTTTCTTTCACATGGTATTTACAACTACTTATTAACACAGAGATATTAAAATGTCCGACAGTATTATGGTTTAAATTAAGCATAGTTTTAAATTGAATTAACCTTAGTTTTTACATCTCTTATAACAGTAATTAAATATATATGAACTTAGTTATTAAACTAACAATAGTAATTAACATAATAAAAATAAAAGAACATTTTTTTCTTCAATTTTTCTGACATACTTTGAAAGTAACCGAGTTTTTAATTGTTTTTTAAAATTTATTATATTTCTGGATGCAGTTTGGGAGATTAGAGAACGTTTGGGCACTTTTCACTATAAAAGAACTACTAAATGTTTTTGTTCTATGTTGTGTCAGTACATATATATGCCTATCTTTATATCTTGTCTTAATATTATGTATTTCAGAAGTGAATTTAATGTTCTCATATATATGCTGGGTTTTTTTTATTATTTTAAACATTGTACATTTTATAATCAAACATGTTTTTTATTTTTAAAATTTCTAGCTGCGCAAATTTGTCATGCATGCTATCATCATATTTTAACTTTAAAATATACCTAGTGCACATATTTACTCGTACTTGTAATCTATAAATTTTCATGCAATTTAAGTCGCTTATGTACGAAAATATCAGGGTTTCCACAAACTTTTTTTTAACATTGACATATTTTACAAACTGTAATAATTTTTTTAATTTATAAACTATAGAATACATTTTACCTTTGATTGCTAATGTTTGCGAATTCCAATTTAATTTTTTTTAATAATTAAACTTAAGCATTTTTCCTTTTTCTTCAAACTTTAATTCATTTTCTATTTCTATTTTGATTTTACTAATGCAATTTTCATTTACTTTTTCTAACAATTTATTATGACATCAATATGGCTTTACATTTGTTAGGATTTAGTACTAACGAGTGGTTTCTACTCCATTCATTTAGATTTTGTAAGTCTTGATTAACTTTTGCTATGGTATCATTTATATTCAGTGCCTTAGATTGTTCAAAAGCATTTATATCATCTCATGCACAATTTACGAGTTCGAAAAGCGTCTTCAATATTGTTTACGTAAATGGAGAAAATTAGCGCTGACACGTTGACCCCTGTGGTACTCCTTGCTTAATCAATTGACTGTCAGACGTACGTCCCTCGGCAGTTTTAATTTTCTGATGCCTATTATTTAAATTTAAATTTAAAGAGAGAGGGAGAGAGACAGAGAGAGATAGAGATCAAGACAAAGGGAGGGAGAGAGAGAGAGAGAGAGAGAAAGAGAGAGAGAGAGGGGGAGAGAGAATGAGAGAGAGAGAGAGAAAGAGAGTGAGAGAGGGGGAGAGAGAAAGAGTGAGGGGGAAGAGAATGAGAGAGAGGGGGGAGAATGAGAGAGAGAGAGAAAGAGAGAGAGGGGAGAGAGAATGAGAGAGAGAGTGAGAGAGTGGAGAGAGAATGAGAGAGAGAGAGAAAGAGAGACAGACAGAGAGAGAGAGTGTGAGAGNAGAGAGAGAGTGAGTGGGAGAGGGGGAGAGAGAGTGAGAGAGAGCGAGGGGGAGAGAGAGAGTGAGTGAGAGAGGGAGAGAGATAGAGAGAGAGAGATAGAGAGAGAGAGGGGGGGAGAGATCATTCTTACATTTAACGAGCATTCGCCCATACAAATAAAGTTTACATAATTTAAAAATCAATATACGTATATTTATTATTTATTAGCTTACGTATATTTATTTTGATTAGCTTAAATTTCACATTTTCATTTCAATTCGCATATTTATTTATACAATAACTTTTCTATGTATATTTGCTCTTAAATAATAATAATAATATACTTTATTACTTTAAAATTACGGCATGGAGGGTCCGTCGGCCGTATTTGTTTGTTCTTAAAACCTGCCATGTTATTTGACGCATAAATTCAATTCATTCAACAATTCTTCATTTTTAACTATGAAACGCAAGATGCCAGTGGTTTTTTACGAAATTTTCCTCTAATATGTAAACGGTAAATAAAATTGATTTATGAAGTTTACAGGACAAACGTGTTGAAGATTTTACAGGTCAGTTGCTTTCGTACTTTGGTTTTATTTGAGGATGCACCCAACTGTTAATTAAGACTAATAAAGATTATAAGACTAGAATAAAGAATTTTTCATTTCATGTAGTAGAATCAGTAAGTGTGCTAGATACATCACTCATGATTGGTAGATAGGATATAGGTGAAAGAGAGATGGGTAAGAAGAGAGAATGAGGAACCTAGTAATGACGACGTAAAAGACAACGTTACAACGCCGGAGAAACAAGAGCAAGTGAAAAAGATATAATAAGATATATCGTGAGTAAATAGAGAGTAGAGTGGGAATGTGATCGAATGGCAGATACTGATAGATCGACTCAATGATAGAGAGGTGTGCAGCGAGTACAGGCGGACCGCGGCCTCTTTCGTTCAGCACCACCTCCGCTCTCACAGACGAAAGTGAAACACAGGACTCATCACCGATCCAAGGGATTTTATTACCGAAAATTAAAATAAAATAAATGTACAAAGCGAGGTGATGGCGCCTGCGTTTCTTGCGGGGGGAGAAGAAGCCCCCACCGCGTCCTCAGACGGGCTGCGCGACAGAAAAGGGCCTCAGTCTCGGCCGAGATACCGCAACATGGTGATGAAACAGGTTTTGGACGTCGACAAAACTATCGCGCATCTACTCGAAGTCGGAAAAAGGAAACATGACAAACAGGTGAGTGGAGATAAATTAAAATAACAATACATAAAAAAAATCCATAACACCTTCTTCAGCTAATTTTTTAAATCAAATAAAAATTTTATTCAATAGGAGCGATTTTTAAAACATTTTAAAATTTCAACAAAAAAAAGCCGACATTCGGAGTTTATCATATATTTTTTTGACAGTGGTTTCGTCGAACTGTATCATCGCTGTTCATCCAGCGAGAACAAGGCTGGTCAATCCTGATTGAGCTAATTTCGCCAATTTATAAAATTGCAGACCAGTGATCTAATAAAAACGTGGTTATCTACTCAAAAAGTTTTACAATTTAAGCTTTAACCTCAATAAAAAAGTCAATAAAATTGAAATACAGTAAAGACAAAATTTTTGTTCTGATGAGAATTTATTTTGAATTTCAAATGTTTTTTGAGTCCGTATTGCACGGTTTCTTTGGGTTATTTTTCAAATTTTAGCCAGAACCTTCGTCTTTCAGAAAGGCGGTTTCTAATAAAAGTTTTTCTGTTTTCATTAACTTGAAATTTAAATTTTCGATGTTTTTTGGGTCCGCTCGTTTTTGCTGATAACCATAAAAACTATCATAATACAAAACATAAATGAAAGGTTTGATTAGGTTCTATTTTAAGTGATTAGTATTTGTTGGGTACGCAGCTTTTTTTTGGGAGGGGGAGTTCTTTTTTTAAAGTTTAGACAATTTCTTTTCATATTTTAGGCTATTTGAAAACCATAAAAAAATCTGTAATGTAGGGTTTTCTATTTTGATTATATTGAAATTAAACTTTTTGATGTTTGTTGAGTCCGCTCGTTTTTGCTGATAACCATAAAAACAACCATAATATAAGACATAAATGATAGGTTTGATTAGGTTCTATTTTAAGTGATTAGTATTTGTTGGGTACGCAGCTTTTCGCTTTTTTTGGTAAAGTTCTTTTTTTTTAAAGTTTAGACAATTTCTTTTCATATTTTAGGCTATTTGAAAACTAGAAAGAAACCTCAAATGTGGGGTTTTCTATTTTGACTATCTTGAAATTTAAAGTTCTGATGTTTGTTGGGTCCGTTCGTTTTCGCTTGTATTGAACGGTCGTTTCATGGGATAATTGCTTTTCAAATTTAAGGCGCAGTCTTTGATAACTATAAAAATAATTATAATGGAAGACATCAATGTTAACACGTTTGATTACGTTTTATTTTATGTGTCTAATGTTTGTTGGGTCCGCAGGTTTTTTTTAAAAATTTTTTTATAAGAAATCTATAATATAGAGTTTTTCCATTTTGACTAGCTTAAAATTTAAATTTCGGCTGTTTGTTAGGTGCTGCGGGTACTTTTTTTGGACTACTGTTTTTCCAGTTTTAGGCTGAGTATTTACAACCATATGATCGAAACCAATGATAACATGTTTTTCTATTTTGGATAGGTTTTATTTTGACTGTCTAGGATTTGTTCGGTCAGCAGGTTTTCGCTTTTTTTCCTACGGTCCTTTAGAATTTAGACAATTTCTTTTTATATTTTAAGCTATTTGAAAACCGGAAAGGAAACTGGAACGTCAGATTTTTTCATTTTCATTAGCTTGAAATTAAATTTTACATGTTTTTTGGGTCCGCCCGTTTTCGCTGGTATTGCACGGTTCGTTTGTCGGATCATTTTTTTTTCAAATTATAGTCGCATTGTTTGTTAACCATAAAAAATTATGATAATAGGGTTTTCTTTATTGATTAGGTTTTATTTTAAATGCTTAGTGTTTTTTTGGGTCCGCAGGTTTTCGTGGTTCCTTCTTTAAATTTTTTTTTCTTTTAAATTTTGAACTATTTGAAAATCATAAATGAATAATCATAAATTTATAATAGAGGAAATCTATGATTAATGATCAATTAGACAGTCTTTGATAATTATAAAAGCTGTAAGCTATTATAATAGAAGAACCAATGATGAGAGGTCTTTCTATTTTTTTAGGTTTTGTTTTAAATTTTGGGTGTTTGTTGGGCCTGCAGGTTCTTTTTTTAGACAATTTCTTTTTAATTTTTATGCTCTTTGAAAACCAGAAAGATATTCATAATATCTAGAAAGCTTAAGCTTATTTATTATAGGTTATTTTATTTTAATTAGCTTAAACTTTCAATTTCGGAAGCTTGTTTAATGCTAAAGTTTTTTTTTTTACCATTCCTATTTCCATTTTAGGTTGTCTTTGTCCAAAAATACATTTATAATGGAAGAAACTGTTGATAACAGTTCTATTTTGTAGGCTTTTTAAATTTAAACTTGGGTTGTTTGTTGGGTCAGCAAATTTTTGCTGTTATGGCATAGCAATTCTTTTTCAAACAGAAAACTACATGAAAACCAGAAAGGCAATAATCTGTAATAAAAAAAGGAATGTTTTTTGTTTTGTTTTTTAGTTAAGAAGTGTTTCAAATTTTGGATCCGCAAAGGTACTTTTACATGACAAGACCGACAATCCAAGAAAAAAGAGACAGTTTAGCTTTTATTTTTATATATAAAATTGCTTGGTCCATTCTTGCTATGTTGATCTGGTTATGTTTGTTTGTTTACTGTTTAAAAGCGATATAGATAAAGGAAGAAATGAACAAAAACCGGTTTTTGTTTCATCCCGTATTTTTGTTAATATAACGGTCATTGACTGGTTCGGACGGATATTTTCTTGAGCATCATCTTTGTTTATTGTAATGATGAGGAATTTTTACCAGATTAAAAGGAAATAAATAGAGAAATGGCTAGTTTTATGTTCTCATTGCTTCTGCACGTTTGTCCGTACTTTAATTTAAAATTTAACCACCTTACAAACAAATAAAATGGGTGAAATTTTTAAAAATGGTTTCTCTATATCATAATCATAAATTTAATAAAAAATAAAAAAAAATTGTTGTATTGTCTCGTGTGTTTGTTATTGGTTGGTCCGGATGTACTCACTATTTTGTATTTAAATAGCATCTTTTTCTTGGCGATCACTTCCTTTTAGATTTTATAGGATTTTTTTCTCCTGATAAATAAATGGAAAGGAAGGCCGAATATATACTCAAAAGCTTGGCATGTGTATAATAAAGAATAAAATTTAAAGAAATGTATAATAAAAGTTATAAAAAAACAATGTTATATTAAAAGAGAAACAGAAAAAACGAATAAAATACTGAAAAACCTGGAATGTCTAAACGGTGCTCTCTTCTTAATCCAAACTTTGGCCTCTGGACTTTACAGTAATCCTGACTGGACAAAAATTCAAGAAGTCGAAAATAAATGAAATATTACATGGGGAGATGAGAGAGAAAGAAAGTAAGAAAGAGAGAGAGAGAGAGAGGGGGGGAGAATGAGAGAGAGAGAGAAAGAGAGACAGACAGAGAGAGAGCGAGTGAGAGAGGGGGGGAGAGAGAGAAAGAGAGAGAGAGGGGGAGAGAGAATGAGAGAGAGAGAGAAGGGGAGAGAGAATGAAAGAGAGGGGGAGAGAGGGGGAGAGAGAATGATAGAGAGAAAGAGAGACAGACAGAGAGAGAGCGAGTGAGAGAGGGGGAGAGAGAGAGGGGAGAGAGAACGAGAGAGAGAGAGAGAGAAAGAGAGACAGACAGAGAGAGAGCGAGTGAGAGAGGGGGAGAGAGAGAGGGGAGAGAGAACGAGAGAGAGAGAGAGAAAGAGAGACAGACAGAGAGAGAGCGAGTGAGAGAGGGGGAGAGAGAGAAAGAGAGAGAGGGGGAGAGAGAATGAGAAAGAGAGAAAGAGAGACAGACAGAGAGAGCGCGAGTGAGAGAGGGGGAGAGAGAGACAGAGAGAGAAAAAGAGAGAAAGGGGAGAGAGAATGAGAGAGAGAGGGGGAGAGAATGAGAGACAAAATGAAATATTATATGGGGAGATGAGAGAGAAAGAAAGTAAGAAAGAGAGAGAGAGAGAGAGAGAGAGAGAGAGAGAGAGAGAGAGCGTGAGGGAGAGAGGGTGAGAGGGAAAGAAAGAAAGAAAAAATACAGAAATATAGAAAGATAAAGGGAGAAGGAGTAAGTTAGAGAGAAAAAGAGAGAGAGAGACAGAGTTTGTGTGGAGAAACAGAAACACAGAGAGAGAGCTTGAGGGAGAGAGAGGGAGAGAAAGATAGAAAAAATAGAGAGATAAAGAAAGATAAAGGAAGGAGTAAGTTAGAGAGAAAAAGAGAGAGAGAGAGTGAGAGAGAGTGAGAGGCGGGATGAAAGTGAGGAAGTGAGAGAATCATCAGCAATGATTAGTTCAGTTTACTGAAAGATCACTATATATTTACAATGAAGCAGTAGATGGTAGGTTAAAAATAGTTTACTCACTTTTATGAAGGGCTATAAATAATAAAAAGTTGTAAAAATATAGATCTATAAAAACAATCTGTTTAAATTTAGAATAATATTTTTGGCCTGTTTGTTCTCTCTCTCTCTTTTTTTTTTTTTTTTAAATAAAACAATGTTGACTTGAACAAACATTTTAACGTGTTGGGTGGGTCCGTGCGATCTCGCTGGGGTTTTTCATGATCAAACGCCTATTGTTGTATAATATTGTAAGTTGTGTAGGCTGTAAAATATAGATAAATAAATTGACAGATAGAAATTTTAATGTTATTTTGCTGTATTAATTTTTCGTTATTAATTTGGTCCGGGCGTTCTCGCGGTTTTTGCTCCGATCAGATCTCTTTACTCAGACGTTTTATTTTGAAATGTAAGGCTAAAGATAGACCCAAGTATAAACAATATACAACCAAGAAAACAGACCGAAAAGGTTTTTAGTTTTATTTTAATTCGCCATTCTTGTCGGGCGTGTTATGTAAAAACGAATAATCTTTACGAACGATACGATTACACCGAAGGATAATCTTTCAATTTGGATTATATCCGACATGTTTACATTACAAAAATTTCACATTCGAGAGAGTCATTTTCAAACGGTTCTGTTCCAGTTTCATCTTTCAGCCTTGGACTTAAGTAGAGATGCGCTTTTTCCACCTCATTGTCGACTGCTTTTACTTGGCGTGATTGAT